AATGACAGTGATGATGATGGGTGTATGCAGGTTTGTTATGGTTCAATTTACACAACAAATGTTTATTGAGCTTGTAGTAAACAGAGATTTAGTTCAAAAGCTAGGAGCTTAGGATAAGAGAAGAGATAAGATATGATTCTGCAAAACTACCTTATAAAGTAAGATACTTTCCATGAGGGAGGATGACAGTAGAGGAGTATTTCATTAGTTGGTATTTATAAAAAATAAAATAAAAAAACAATGGATTGAGTATTAAATGCGCACCTACTAACAGCAATGATAACAAGACGTTTTTGTTGCACTGAAGGAACTGGCAGTCTAGTGGAGTAGACATGTAAATAGAACATTATATCATAATATATTCAGTGCTCAACATAGCATTTATTAACACTGACCTAAGTGGTTTATATTAATTATCTTTATCTTCACACAATAAGTAGGTATGATTATTAGCTACTTTTCACAAATAGCAAAGTCAGGGCCAGAGAGGTTATTAACTTGCTCAATCAGGTTACTCAGCTTAAGTTAAAATCCAGGCAATTGATTCCTCATTCTTTTTGTATTTTTTAATATATTTCCATTAATTTTAGTTAGGAAAAGAAAGGGTAAGAGAGACAGAAACATCATTGTTGAGAAAGAATCATTAATCGGCAGCCTCCTGCATGCCCTACACTGGGAATGGAGCCTGCAACCCGGGCATGTGCCCTTGACTGGAATCAAACTCCGGATCCTTCAGTCCACAAGGCGATTCTTTATCCACTGAGCCAAGACGGCTAGGGCTGACTTCTCATTCTTAACCATCACTCCAGAGAACTATAGAAGCATGAAAGAGAAACACATAAGCCAGCCTAGAGGCAGTGGGGGAAGACTAATCTTTCCACTCCACTGGTAGTTATGTTCTCCCTGCGGTCTCTAGGAAATACAGAGATCACTTATAGAGTCATAGAAAGCTACCAAACTCATTATACTTACCAGATTGTGTAACTTCTAGAGTTTAATATCAAAAGAGTAAACTTTTCCCCCCAATATTCACCTAGGTTACATTTCTCATTCAGATTACTATAATTTTTCCAATCCTCTCTATCCCCATAAATACTAAATCTCATTGTACTAGGGTCTTTATCAAGGAAAGTATGAAGTTTACAGGAAAGCTTCTAATAGTTCTTTTCAGGGGATTTTCATCATGGGTTCCCAGCGTTTTATGTTATATAATACCTTTTGACTAGCACTGTGAAAATTCCTGGCTATATTTATATACTGCTAATTCATAATGTATGAGTTCCAATGTCCTTTATCCAGGATGATGAAACTAGAATAATATCTCTCACCTAAATCACTGTAAGTTTTCCTACTCCCACCAAATTCAGCCCTCTCCATCCTCATAACCACCATGGACATTGGGTTGGCAAATAACAAAAAAGAGAGAGTTGTAAAAAGTTGAGTTGGAACTTTAATGGTCTTATGAAACATCATCATAAGTAGGTAGCGAAAAAGCCTCAGAAGTGCAGAATGTCAAAAGGTGACCCTATTCTTGGAGAAGGAAGTCCAGGATGGGGAGCTTTGTATCAGTTAGGATAGCCTTTGTCTGCAAATGAAAGGCATTTCTCTTGTAATATAACCAAAGCCCAGGCCAGGGCAGATGTCAGCAACCTTTCAGGATCTTTCTGTTTTTCTGTTCTGCTCTTATCTTTGCAAGATTACTGGTATACTTTCAAATATCAAACAATATTAAAAACAATAAGAAGGACAAAGGGTAGAAGGTAAAAATAAGTTAGAGAGCTCTGACCACTTTGAAAACGTTTCCAAGAATCTATACCCTGCAACTTCTGTTTAAATCTCATTGACCAGCCCTAGTCAGTTTGGCTCAGTGGATAGAGTGTTGGCCTGCCTGTGGATGGAAGAGTCCTGGGTTTGGCTCCAGTCAAGGGCTTGTACCTTGGTTGCAGGCTCCTCCCCAACATGGGCCCTGGTCAGGGCACATGCAGGAGGCATCCAATTGATGTGTTTCCCTCACATCAATGTTTCTCTCTGTCTTTCCCTCTTTCTTCCACTCTCTCTAAAATCAATGGAAAAATATCCTTGGGAGAGGATAAATAAATAAATAAATAAATAAATAAATCTCATTGGCCAGATTTGGGTCACATGACCTCTGCTAGCTGCAAGGGAGTCAGAGCAAATCACTGTATTACCTCAGCACATGCCACCCCAAGCAAAGCAGGGTTTTGATAATAAGAAAAATGAAGAGCACACACATTGGTCTGGCAAATAGCAATGTCTGCAAAATTAACCTAAAGTTTTCCAATTAATAAAAGAGAGGAGGAGAGAGACAAGCAAAGAAAGGGCAGTTGAAAGAGATTTTAAAACCCTAGGGAATACAGCCAATTAAATAAAGTCAAGCCAATTTTATTTAAGTATTTCCCTTTTAAGTTACTTAGATAGTCGTGGCTCTAAATCTTATGGGAAAAATAGGGGTTGGGAAGATTTGGAGAGGGCAATGCATTCCCAGCTAAGGCACTGAAGTGTGAAACATTTTGTGTGGGGATTACAATCCATTCCCTGTTTCCAGAGAATAAGTTGCAAAGTAATGAATATCAGGGGCCATATTATAGAAGGCTTGTGTATATGCTTTAAGAAGGTATTTATCTGGTATAGAATGAAGAGCTACTGAAGTGTCTGAGGCCAGGAGGGACTAAGTCAGATTTGCATTTTGGATAACTTGTGTTAGTGACTGGGATTAGGATGGAATCAAGAAGATAAAGCTAAAGGTGAAAAAATAAGTTAAGAGGCAACTGTATTAATATAAATGGATGCCCAACCAGCATGGTTCAGTGGTTGATCATCGACCTATGAACCAGAAGGTCACAGTTCAATTCCTGATAGGGCACATGGCTGGGTGAGGACTCAATCCCCAATGTAGGTCATGCAGGAGGCAGCTGATCAATGATTCTCTCTCATCATTGATGTTTCTATCTTTCTCCCTCTCTCTTCCTCTGAAATCAATAAAAATATATTTTTTTAAAAAATATAGATGGAAGATGCAGAACCCTGATCTAGTGAGGATGCAGAGCAATGTACAAATTTGAAAAATTACTTCTTTGAGCATCAGGGGAGACTTCTTGGAGGAAGCATCCTTTTATGGCTAAAAATTAACTTTTTATGCCTACAGCATTAATCTGCAGAGTCTGAGGCAGCCCTACTTCAAATACTTTTTTAGGAGTTTATGGGACATAGGCTATTCATTAATACAAATTCCTAAACAACTTGTCCTGCTATTTATAAGTAAAATGATCTCTGGAAATGCTTTTGGCAAAAGGCTAAAAATTTGAAATAACTCTTAAAGTTATTAAAGTTATTAACTCTTAAAATCTAAAGTTAGGAAAAGTCTACATCAAGTTACTTGTATCCTCAAAACCAATTGTTCTCCGACTCTGGTATCAAGGGATCTGGGAAAACTTCAGAATCAGAGGCCCACCTTCAGACCTGCTGGGTCAGAATCCTGAGGATGGGACTGTAGATGGGTTTTATAATGAATTCCACAAAGTATTCTAATATTCACCAGACTTTGGTCAATAGCATAATAGGCCTGACAGGGCATAACCAGTACCCCAACATCAGACATATTGACCAGAAAGGAGGCATGAAATCCAAGAATGTACAATTATGAGGCAAAAGATGGAAGCACAGGAAGAAAGGCCATCACTCATGTGGAAGGTCAGAAGCATGGAGCTTGGCTACAAGGCTTGGAGAACTCAAGCAGCAGGCAGGTGGGAAAGTGGGAGCAGCAGAGGAGGGGCTGGGCTGGGGAGATTAATGGGGCCCCAAGCATGGGGATGGGTAATGGGACCAAATCATAATATCCAAAGTATAACAGAATCAGATTCTCAACTTCCAAGGCAAATCCATACCTATGCTTTTGCTGGTAAATTGAGACAAATTTCCTCTGTATCAAAAGTAATTCATATTAAGCTATTTGTTGATTTTAAAAAGAGAATTTAAGGATTACATTGGTCAATAGGTAGAAAGAATTATATCTCTCATCCCTCAAAATAGAGCGAAGGATTATCTGAACAGCCCTGATGAGGAAGCTATGACAACCCCTACAATCCAGTGCTATCAGGAAGGTTCCCAGAGGGGCAGATCCCTAACCCCTTTTGCTCTGTAGAGATCACTGAGCATATGGCTTTGGAGCTGCCCTGCACTGTGTCTGATATGGCAACCATTTATTTTGTGAATGTCTAACAGACAGGAGGTTTCATGCAATGGGGTCGAGAAAAGGAGAAGGTGGATAGGCCTCTCTTTTACGAAGCTTTACCAACCATAGTTCTCATTTTCTCTGGGAAAAATAAAAGTACTGGCTTGACATAACCAGCCTCGATCTCTAGGATGCTGGTGGCATCCTGCTCCCTCTGAGGCCCTGCAAATAATTTGCAAAGACTTGTGTGTGAGGGCTTTCTCCTAGAGTTCTTCCAATTCAGAACATGCTGTATGTTTGTGCTGGCATTTTTCTTTAATCTTCACCCAAGGATATGCCTTACTGATTTTAGAGACAGGGGAAAGGGGAGAGAGAAAGAGAGAAAGGGAGAGAGAGAGAGAACAGAAACATCCATCAGTTGCCTCCTGCATGTGTCCCAACAGGGGATCAGCCCACAACCTATGTACATGCCCTGACTGGCAATCAGACTGCCCCCTTTTGGTGCACAGGATGTCACTCCAACCACCTGAACCACACCCGCCAGGACTGTGTTGACAACTTTGAGAGAGCTGTTCTGCTTTGGGTTAGTCAGAATCATAAATGGTCAATAAAACTCAAAAAGGTGTGGAGAGTGTGTGACATCATAGCCGTCCTGTGCCTGGAGCCTGGGGTAGCCTCCAACGCCTTCCTTAGAGAAAGCAGGCATTGCTCAGGCTCGGAGCAGTCACTCCGGAATGCCCAGAGCGGGCCGGGTGATGACCGGCCTGCACGCGGCTGCAAGCTCTCTCCTTCTGTCTCTTGAGCGCAGGTTCCACGAGCGCAGACGGAGCTCAGTGGTGCTCAACTTGCCGGGACTTGAGGTGTTCCCCGGGGACCTTCTGGTGTCAGATGGAGCTGCCGATTACCTGTGTCACCCACTCCTGCTACTGAATTCAGGTCTCGTCATTCAGCATACTTACGCCACATGCCTGCTATGGAGGATACTGTAATGAGCAGAGGGGGGCGGGGGCGGGGGTTTCAAAATACTTAATGACCAGTACCCGAGGTGCACTGACAAGTTCAATAGATCTCTCACCGACTTAGGCATCAGCCATGAATTACTGGAACCAGCTGAACACCACTCTGCTACTGGCCACTCCACTCACAGAGATGTATGAGGTCCTCTTGTCAAGTAATTTGCCCAGGTCCAGGGACGGTCACCACCTTGGAGCTGAATGCTTTCTCCGGGCTGGTGGGCAGCTTCCATATCATCCTGTGATGCTAGGCACACAACCAATGCCACAGCCCCACCCTTCCAACCACGGTGGTACCCTGTGCAGACAGAGGTCCTGGTAATAGCGGATTACTGTTAGAGGAGATTAGAGTAGGCAGCCTGAAGGGTAAATCTTCTGCATTTTGAACTCTGTTGGGAAAGAAAAGAACAGCTCCTTTGAGAGCTGAAAGGAGACTTAGGGATTACCCATCTTGGTGGCTGTTAAATTGGTTTTGTTCTTAACAGAGCCCTTTTTACATAAGAATCCTCACTTGGAAATAAAGCCTATAAAACAGATCCAGGCAGAGTTGCAATATTTGAAAATGGGGTGGGTCCCAAAGCCTCACCTCCAAGGCACCCCCAGAACCCAGGGCATCCTGCAACTCAGAAACTAGCTCATCCCCATTCACATATGTGCCAAGTGAGATCCAGAAAGGAGCCCTGACCTGACCCAGTCACGTTGCCTGGTTTGTGTAGAGCAGCGGTTCTCAATCTGTGGGTCGCGACCCCTTTGGGGGTCGAACGACCCTTTCACAGGGGTCGCCTAAGACCATCGGAAAACACATATATAATTACATATTGTTTTTGTGATTAATCACTATGCTTGAATTATGTTCAATTTGTAACAATGAAAATACATCCTGCATATCAGATATTTACATTATGATTCATAACAGTAGCAAAATTATAGTTATGAAGTAGCAACAAAAATAATTTTATGGTTGGGGGTCACCACAACATGAGGAACTGTATTAAAGGGTCGCGGCATTAGGAAGGTTGAGAACCACTGGTGTAGAGGAATGGAGTCTGGGCTCCTGGCTGCTAGTCCTGCATGCTCCCTACCAGACTGCATCAGCCACCTATTAGATGGAACCCAGAAGCCACCAGTAAATAAATCATGCCTGACATTTGTATAGTTCTTCACACTTTATAGCTCCCTTTCACATCTACCGTCTTATAAGACACAGCCATCCAAATAAACATCTGCTGTCTCCTGAGATACAACCACCCGAACGCACAACCCGAGAGGGATTAAGTGACCTACTCACGGACAGGCCCCTAGAAACTAGAGCTAGCTCTAAACACAGCGTAACCTTAACAGAGGTTAGTACTTGGTCCATGAGACTTTGCACACGCCCTAAGCTGGTGAGCAACGAAAGCAGTGTTTCCCGAAGGACGGCCCCAGACCAGCAGCTTCAGCACTACCTGGGAAATTGTCAGACACATGGGCGGGGCCCTGCTCCAGACCTTCTGAATTAGAAATTCTGGGGGCAGAGCCAGCCCAGGTATCTGTTGTTGTTTTATTTTTTAATTAAATTTATTGGAGTAACATTGGTCAACATGAACATACGGGTTTCAGGTGTGGGTTCTATGTTACAGGGTCTGTATATTGCACCATGTTCTCACTACCCAAAGCCAAATAGTTATTTGTGGGTTTGTTTGTGGGTTTGTTTAGTTTATATATGTTTTAATTGATTTCAGAGAGAAAGGGAGAGGGAGAGAGAGAAACATCAATGATGAGAGAGAATCATTGGTCAGCTGCCTCCTGCACTCCCCCTACTAGAGGTCGAGTCCTCAACCTGGGCATGTGCCCTGACCAGGCATCAACCATGACTTCCTGGTTCTCAGGTCGATGCTCAAACACTGAGCCACGCTAGCCGGGCATTATTTATTTTTTAACAAGCCCTCCAGATGATTCTGATGCCACCTAAAGTTTGAAAACTGCCATGCTAAGAAACAGGACATAACTTGCACGTGATGTTTCTAAATGAACTAGTTGTTCTTTGTTATATGCCTAGCATCGCAGCAGAAACCACAAAGTAAAAGTTATGCAATGTTCTCCACCTTCTGCCTCCACATCCTCTTCCCAAGGAGTTTAGAATAGAGCTCCTGTGTCCCCAAATCATGGTCTAATGCAGTGCTGCTCAAGCTTTGAGGTGCATGTGAGTCACTGGTGAAATAGCTGCATCAGCAAAACTTAACATTTAATACAGATAATAAATGATTGAGGATGCAGAAAAGACCCATTTACATCTTCTGAATATTTGTGATGCTTTTCCAAGGCCCTGGAATTACCCCCAAAGCTAGAAAAACAGAGAGACATTTGTTAAAACCAGATACCCAATTGCAGTTCAAATTGGACATGATTTACCACCAGGTATTTGAGGGATAAGAATGGTAACGCTGATTTGTCCCTAAAGGAGATTCCACCCAAGCTCTCCTTTTAAAAGATTAATAAGGTGGCCAGAGTGAGCAAGATAATTGGTTGGACAGGTGTCTTCCAGGGCTCCAATAGGAGAAGCCCCTTGAGCACACCCTTTGTAGTAAATGCCATTCGGTAATTGCCCCCATCCGATTGAAGTACTATGCAGAGCCCCCTGACGAATGGAACAGAGAGAGAGAGACAGACCGATAAGACATCTATTTTGTTGTACTTAGTCATCAGAACACCTCACCTAATCCTAAGAGACGATTCCCAGCTTTTTCTTGGTAACATTACAAATTGATGCAAATGACAGGAAAACCAGGAGTCCAAATCTCATCACTTTACTTTCTGATCATAAAAAAAAGTGTGGCCCTAATCCGTTTGGCTCAGTGGATAGAGCGTCGGCCTGTGGACTGAAGGGTCCCCGGTTTGATTCTGGTCAAGGGCATGTAACTTGGTTGCGGGCACCTCCCCAGTATGGGGTGTACAGGAGGCAGCTGATCAATGTTTCTCTCTCATCGATGTTTCTAACTCTCTATCCCTCTCCCTTCTTCTCTGTAAATCAATAAAATATTTTTTTTAAAAAGTGTGTTATTGAACAATGATGTCCTTCTCAACTCAAAGCAGCCCCTTAGGACTACTTGGATGGTGGCTAATAGCAACAATAAACCCCAACATAGAGACTGGTGATGTGCTGGTGTTCCCCTATTTCGGGAGTCTGAGTTCAACCACACCTGGGATTGTCAGGTGATGTAGTCATCAAGACTCAAGTTTGGTCAGGGAGAGTTTCTGGTGGAACAGTGTAAAAAATGTCCTTTCAGCCCCAATGTTCCATGACTCTCCATCTTAAATATATTATTCAACATCTTTATGACATTTCATAGATTTTCCCCCTGAGTGATCAAGCAAAGGAGGCTGAAAAATAGTCTACTAAAGAAATAGGACAATATTACCTTCAGGTAGCAATGGAATACCAACTTTTAGGTTGCAACACCGCTTCCTTCACTGTCTGCATAAATATGTATATTCATACTGGGCATTCTCAAGGGAAGGAGAATTAGAGCAGGATGAATTCCATCTGACTCTTTGGAAAAGCAGGTCTTGTCAAGTACTGCAGTGCTCTGTCACTAGTTACTCAACGTTCTAATATGTTTTCTTTCATTTCACCCACCAGAATCCAAAAAGCCACGGTGGCCTTTCTCCAGGAGAGGAGCGGTGAGTGCTATGTGTTGTCATTTTAATTAAGCTTCCTGTAGCTAAGAAAGTAAGAAGGGGCTGAAGAGTCCCTCTGTCTTTGCATGACGGCAGATGGCACACGGCACATGAAGTTTAAATTATATCATCACATCCGTAGTAGTGGCTACAGAACATGCCAGATCAGGCCATTTTGCGCAGCAAAACAGTGCTAATCTCCAGTGGTTAGCAAGCTCTGCAAAAACACAAAGCAATCCTAATACTGAGATGCTTTCCAACTCTAAATGTATAACTCGATGCAGCTTCGGAAGCAGCTCACTCGATAAAGTCAACTTGCACAGGTTACGTATGCCCCAGTTTGCAGTCAGTGCTGTGCTTATCGGGAACATTGAAAAATGAATGAGCTATTACAGAAACAGACTCCACAGGTACACTTCTATTTCTGGGAAAGCCAGTTGGATTAGTCCTGGAGGATGTGTTTTTTAATTCATTCTTGGTACCATCAATTATGAAAGAGTCATAAATCTACGTCAGTGGTCCCTGAATTTTCACAGCCTACAACGAGGGCTGGCCAGAGTGCAGACTTTCCTCCAGGCATGTTCGAGGTAGAGGGAAGGGGCATTCCTGACTACAACCTCGTGCCTCACTCCTGGTTTTGTAGGGCGGGGAAGGACTGATTCTGTTCTAACAACAGTACCAGTTGCAATACCATCTTGAAGTACCGTAGCTAAATTCAAAGCTCTCTGAGGTGCCAATCCCAGCTGCTCCACTTACTATTCTGTGACCTTGGCCAAGTGAATCAATCTCCTTCAGCTTCAAGTGCCTCCCTATGAAAGCTGGGTGGTGATCACGCCAGCCTCCAGGGTTGTGATGAGCAAATCAAATAATGCAGAGCTGGGCAGATCTTAAACAGTCTTATCAATATTGGCCATAATATTGGTAGTTTTATTTGTAATTGGGGTTTGGAAAACTACTTGTTCTCATAAGCAAGTATATGACTGACTTTCACATTATTTTTCCAAGCATCAAACATCTGATTGAATGTCTTAGCCAATCTGGCTGCCACAGGCTGGGTGGCTTAAGCAACCATGATTACTTATCACAGTTGTGGAGACTGGGAAGCCCAAGATCAAGGGGCCAGCATGGTCAGAGGTTTTGGGGAGAACGCTCTTCGTAACTTATAGGCGGTTGTCTTCTCACTGTGTCCTCCATAATGGAGATAGGGCTCCAGTGCCTCCTCACTAACTTCATGAACGGGGTTAGTGTCGTTACAAGCCGTCATGACCTCAGCCACACCGAGTTACTTCCCAAAGGTCCTGTCTCCAAATACCTTCACACTGGGGGGTTAGGGCTTTCACAGATGACTTGAGGGGAGGGACAGAAACAACCAGCCATAGGGACAGTCTCAACATGAGCTAGTAAAGTTTTACACCATTGTCACTAAAGCTGTTTCTCCTGTTCATTCCCACTGTGCCCCTCTTTAGGGACCTGATTTGACTGTTTTCCTGGCAGGTCTGAGGCAGGGCCTATGGTATAAGCTTTCCTGGCCTCCTTCTCATTTAAATGGAGGCAGGGCCAGCTACCAGTCAAGTCTGGGGTCTCAGGAGAAGGGGAATCTCCCACAAGCTCTCCTGAAGCTAAGAAGGAAGGTGCCCACCTTCCTCCTTGGAAAGAGTGCTCTAAGGGCTGCCTGGGAGGTAGAATGTGCTCCCAGAAGGGAGGGCGTACCTGCGGAAGGGATGCTCTTACAAGTTGTAACCAATGTCTTTTTCTCCATAAAGAAGTGATTTGTTGGGTGGCTGTATGTGTCAAACACTGGGCTAGATTTCTAGGATGCTGAGGGGCCCATTATCAGCTCCTCATTAAGAAGGCCAGACTGCCATGTACATTGAGGGGGAAAGTGTGATAATGGCGTGCACAATGTTGGAGGTGGGTAGGCAATGGTGGAGATACACAGACAGAATAATTAGGGGGATGATGAAATGTTTCAGCAAATGTTCTCACTAATGAAGGGAAATTCATATCGCAAAGGCTCACTTTGATAAGGACCTAGTATCTGGTCTCCTTTAAATTAATATTTCTACCTGCTCCTTCATTCTTTTAGTCTTATTTATCACGTAATTCATAGCTATATAAATGCTAATCCACATAAATAAAATAAACACACTGCTACATTGTAATGTATTTTCTTAATATGTTACACATTTTCTCTTTTCTTACCTTCCTTTCTTCTCTCCTTCTTTTCAAATGAATATTAGTAATAAAAGCAAACACAGATATGTTTACATTATCAGGCACCATTTCCGTTTATGTGTGTTCCTATTTATGTATGTCATAGTTTGTATATGTCAACTCATTAATTCTCACAACAGCCCAACAAGGCAGGTGACATTATTATCCCCACTTTGCAAATGGAGAAACCGAGGCTCAGAGAGGTTGAAGAGCTTGCCTGGGGTCACACAGTTTACAAGCAGCACAGTGGGATTGGTGCCCAGGAGTCCCAGGCCCTCCGGCTCTGAGTCTATTTCAGCCCTAACATTGAATTGTCTGGCAAATGTGTGGCTCCATAACCAGACCTGGACACTCCGGCCTCCTCTCCCTCATCAGAGCTCTCATGGATCTTGCCTGTTCTCACAGATTCAATGCCAACTCTTTGTCAACCACTGAAATGTGTATATTCACGCTCACATATCACATCTATTTATTTTGCTCCCAGTCCACATCCTTGGTTCCTACTGCAAATTTTCATTCCACCCAGCTCTTAGTTATTAACTTTGGGACTCTAGAATTTGGGACTCTTGGTTCTTTCTCTTCATGTTCTGTATCCTCTCAGATGCCCTTCAGACTCTTCTCATGACCTCTCCTTGCCAACGCCACCATGTCTGCTACTCTACAGAGCTAATGTGGCCTCTGGGAGGACTGTCCCCTCCCTTCTCACTGGTATCCACCAAGCATTTGGTCAGGAGGCTGGTCGGATCCATGGAAAGCCACAGAGAGTGCCCTCACGAGAGGCTGGTGCCCACCTTGCCACAGCTCTGATGCTGCTCCCATTGTCTCGGCCTCTTTCTTTCCCAACAGGCAGCTGCTTTTTTATTTCCGCAACATGCAGTCACTATGGTTTCAGGCATCACCAAAAGGCATATGTCCCAGTTGCTGTAGGCGGTCCCCAACCCGCTCCAAGATTTCTTTCCTACTGTGAAGCTAAGGAGTCTCTAATAGATTTTCTCTCTCAGTGCCATAACCCTACCAGAGAAACCAGCCACAGCCCATCAGCACGTTCTGAAACAACAGGGTCTCCTCTCAGACACACAGGGAGCCGCCTAACAGATAACCCCTGTGTTCTCCTGCTCATTAACATAAAGCATCATGACCTGGAGACAATAGAACAAGTATAAAAATTATTTGTGATAAACATTCATTTCAAAAGCAGCCAAGTTTCCTTTAGGGAGCCTTTCACTTCTTTTGAAAGCTTCTCCCTGTTATGGGCAGTAAAATGAATTTTTTTAAGTGGATAACTTATGATCTTGCAACAGAATAGTGAACAAGTCAAAAAAAAATTCACAATCTATTAAGTTTAGAAAGCAAGTTATGAAATGATGTCCAAATATGACACCATTAAAAATTAATTATAATTACAATCAGAAAAAGGTTTTCAGTGGTTCTCTGGGGGTGAAGATTATAGGTAACTTAGATTGTCTTTGTGTTTTTCTTTGTTTCTCAAATTATTACCTTTGTAATCAGATTTTTTAAAACTAATATTATTAAAAAATGAAAACAATAACAAATAAGTGGGTTGTTTCATACCAAAGAGACTAGTTTCTAGCATATCCTAGTATTCTTTAGCAGAGAATTACCGTGTTGGGCAGTTCCTTCAGCACCCGGGGCTTTGCCCAGTCATCTGCCAGCTGAGGGGTGAGCTAAAGCCTCCGAGTACCCTTCTGATGTAAAGTCCTGTAATCCCGGGTTTGGGAAAGTTAGAACTGTGAAAACATTACATCACCCCACGGGGGGGGGGGGTGTGAGACCTGGAGTTCATCTACTTACTATATAACTCTTCCAAGCCTTGGATTATTTTTTTATTAGTAAAATGAAAGGTTTGGATCAGACATCCTCACCAGCCTCTGTCCTCCAGATGGGACATTCCGTGGTCCTGGGAGTCAGACTATGGCTGGGAAATGGCTTTGCAACTGATAGTGGCTTATAGACAAAAGGTACAGTCTCTTCTCATGCATGTTAAACAATGAACGTATGGAAGATGCTACCAAAGTCATGTCGTTGAAGAATTCCTGTTTGAAAATCCTGTTTCTAACCATCCTTAAGCAGGGCAAAGACAAGCACAAGCACATATCTGATCTGGAACAGCGCCTCTCCTCTGTGAAGATTACAGACTTCGGGGGCTATGAATTCCACAGCCTTAAGGTATCTGACAAGCTGCTTCCTGAGTGACATGGCTTTTTCCCTTGGTTTAGTCACTATTTTGTTGTCTTTGTTCCTATAACAATGAAGTGCAGGAGAGAAGCCCAGAGCTGGGCTGAATTGGGTCTGCTCTCTCTAATGCCCACGGAAACCTCAGGAAGGTCATTTCATCTTAACAAAAACCGTGGATGCCAGAGGCCTGTCCACATGTTCACAGTGGTTACTCATTCGCCTCAGGGCATCAATTTCCTCGTTTAAAAAATAGCTTGTTGTTGAACTGACCATTTCTAAAGGTCGCTATACACTTTAAAATTCTCATTTCATGTAGTTAATTTCAATGAGCTTTAGCAGGGAAGCCTGGACCAGACCTCCCAGTTCTGAGTTTGGGGTTCTTTGAGGTGTTTTTTTGCAATAAACTGAAAAAGGCTCATGAAATTCTCAAGCATAATGCAAAACAACATCAATGTGAACTCCTTCTTATTGAAGCTAAAAATAATGTATGTCATGCATCCCAAAGCCACACAGAGAGAACTGTGGTTTGGGCAGCTGGAGGAGCCACTGCCGACAGGCATGCCGGGGCCTGCGCAGGGAACCAGGATTTTAGGCGTGTGTGCGTGTTCTTGCCGTACTTAGCGCAGCTCAGAGCTAATGGAGAGCAGGTCAAGGTGGAAATGTTTTGTTCCTTCTCTCCTCCCTTGCGCAGGGTAAGACCTGGAATGAAGTCATGGCAACACATCGGAAACTTCCTACTGATCAAGTAGACTTGAGAAAGCAGCAAGAGGCCGTGTGGGAACTTTTCGCGAGCGAATGCACTTACTTCTTGGACCATTTACTAGTTCTTAAGATGGTAATGCTGGGCTCGCTTTTTGCAATAGATGGAAAATATTATTTTGATTTGGGGGGAGTTTGTTTTCCTCTTCCACATGGAAAACAGGAAGTTGGGGGTGGAGGTCCCCTCTTTTAGGAGATCTTACAAAAATGTGTCTACTGTGTATCTACTACTTGGTTGCCTCTTCATTCTTTTCTTAAACATAGTCTGCCAGGATTGGAGGAGGTCTTCTAAGTAAACTAGTCCAGCTGCCCATCTGATGTCTGGCTTGCCTCTACCTATTCTCACCATGTGCTTACACTTGCTTACACGCCTCTCCAGTCAGGGAGCGCAGATCCACCCTGCAGGAACACCCCCCACCCCCACCACCACCACCGCTGGTCAGCTTCCACTTTCCGAGCACTTGCTCCCCCTGTGCAGTGCTGGGAGCATGTGTTTTATCAGCTGCAGGGCCACTGTCACAGATTTCCAGGCAGCCACCCACATGTAACGCAGTGGGGCTGCATGACGTGGTATATTCGTAATGTCTACCAGGTAAATGGTGTCCCTGAGGGAGTGCCATGCTGCAGCCAGATCTGGTGAGGTTCTGAGCAAAGAATCCTCATAGAAGAACCACCCGGCAAGGATGGCAAGGGAGCCATTGCCTTCCGAGACCACGGGGAGGAAGAGCCATAGTGCTCCCCAGCTAGACTCAGCCTGTAAATATTTATGAATCCTGCCTACTATCTTCACAGGAAAAAGCACTGTGTGAAAAGCACTTAGGGAGAACTAAGTGCAAGCCCTGGATCTGTTTCTGACTTTTCATGTGACCCTAGAAAAGTCCAGTCCTCCATTTCCTAAACCAGAGGTTGGCAAACACTTCCTGTGAAGGTCCCGATAGTAATTATGAGGTGGAGCAAAAGTAGTTTACAGTTGTTTGTCTGGAAAATAATATAATAGTTAATAATAATAATAATAATAATAATACAAGAATAAACCCTGTGTTTCACATGCTCACAACTGTAAACCTGCTGTTGCCTCACCCTGTATGTTGGGCTTTGCAGACTCTGAGGTCTTTATTACAACTCCTCAGCTCTTCCTTTGCAGTGCCCAGGAAGCTACGGGTAATTTATAAAGGAATGTGATAGCTGTGCTGTAATAAACATTATTTATGGAAGCAGGTAGCAGGCCTGATCTACCCCACAGGCTGTCATTTGACAATCCCTTTCCTAAGCTCTAAAAGAAGGATGGCAACACCATCTCTGGCTGTCTCATCGCATCTCAGCTTTGTGATCATCAGATTAGTTTTCTTTGAAATCTACCAAGTGACATACAAATCCCAGTCATTATTTTTTTGCAAAGCATTCTTCTGTCAATGCGTTGATCTTTGTTTAGTTTATAGACGCAGGGAAGATTATCTGTGAGGATTGTAGTTCTTCCTTGACTTGCTGTAGAGTAGCCTCCTGCTGGATGAAAGCATCAAGTCAAGAAACAATAGCACAGAGGCTCCCTGGATGCTTTCAGTCATAGTTAATGCCTTTATCCAAATGCAAGCATCCTACCAGTTACAGATATTGACTCATTCGTTCTCTTTTTTTCATTTCCTGCAAGTAAAAGACATTTGGATCTTTTGCAGAGAAAGGTGTAAATGAGAATCCAGCATGAAAGTTGTTTTGGTCTCACATTAGTGCTCTGGATAAGAAGAGAACCTGTGAGATTTCTTGACTCCGGGAGGCAGAGAAAGCCCATTAGAACAGATGATGTTCCACAGGAATGTTGTCAGGGTGCATATCAGCAACAACACCGTCATGCAGAAGAGCACATTTCCCACATGTTCCATGGAGCTTAAATGTCACCATTGGTATTTAGGAAAATTCTGAAACCTCCAAAATACTGATTTCTAAACTGTTTTGTAAAGTTGTAGTCAGGAGGTTTACGTTCAATGCTCTTGAAAAGGGCAAGTTTCAAAACTGAAAACAGAAAGTAATCTGCATTTCTTTTTTTTTTTTTAAGATCTTCATGAATACACTAAAATATCTACAAACCTATGAATATCTCCTGGATGTGGATTCATGGCGCCTTTTTGCAAACCTGGAGGAGTTAAGTCAGGTGAGCCAAAGTAGAAAGACATCAGGAGACATGTTTTGAAATTCACCAGAGGGGTCATGAAAATGCATGTTTGTTCTATTCTTGTGGCTTGTATTCCACGCTGCAATACAGAATGTGGTTCGTTCCCCCATATAATATTATGGTCAGGAGGTCAGGTAAATAAGAAGGAAATCTAAACATTCATTGATATCTTGCCAATAGATCACATATATCAGCCTTCAGTAGCATTTTTCATTTTAACTTGGCTGTTTAAGACAGTAAACATATTCTCAAGATCTCCTTAACCTTCCTAAATGTTTGTTCTCAAATGAATGTCCTTTCCTCATATATTATAAATCAATAATATCTTTCCTCCAAAAGGGAAGGGAAGAGAGATTCCAAAAAGAATTTATTTATATAAAAAAACTTATAAGAAAATATATATTGAAAAGGAAAATAAATCTGAATTTTTCCAGGAGGTAAATTGTAATGAGAAACAGCTGTAGACTGATATTTGAAGTTCATCAAATATTTATTCCTTCCCTTGGGTCTGTGCCTACTCTTGTTTCCTTTCTCTGGCCCTAGACAAGCTACGGTTTTGTGAGCAGTCTTTTTGCCATCATCAAGGACTACTTCGATGCCTCTGAGACTTCACCACCCATGGATTTCATTTCCGTGCTCACGAAGGTAAAATCCTTTCAGGAGACCTCAGACTCATGCAATAAATTCACCCTCTCTCAGGATAGCTGTTCATATCTACTTGACTTTTTGTTTTTGTTGTTCCTATAAAGGAACCATCCTTTTCTCTCTGCCAACAGACATTTTCAAAAATAACTTGCAGACTCTGTTTTCCCATTGTCACCTCTGCCGTGTGGGTTTTATTAACACAGAAATGCGCACACATGGAAAAGCCATTTCCAAGTCTGTCTTTTAAATGACTTCAATTTAAAGCAATATTCATGGCAATGGTTTGTGTAGGCCAATTACATGGTTCAGTTGTTCCTCTAACAAAAGTGTCAGCCTTTCAGACAAAAATAAATAAATAAATAACCCTTCAAACCTACCAGCACCCTTAATAGTACCTCTGGTTTGAAAGAAGAAGAGGAAAACCTGTAGCCCTGGTTTGTTAAATGCTATTTATTTCTTGAGTAGATATTTGAGCCTCATCCCTACTTTTTTTTTTTTTTACTTTGAGCTTTTTAGTCCCGTTTCTATCTATTCACATTTAGCAAGATTTGACTTCATACAATCCACTTTAAAAAGCTGGATTGAGATTTGTTGAGCGTTTACTAAAGGCTATGTGTGGGGCCAAGACCCTGTGCACAAAATGTGCAAAACCAGGCACACTCCTGCTCCTTTTCAATCTAGTGGGGGAGGTCTTAGTTCAAGAAGAACAGTAATAATTATATAATCAAATGGAGGTCAATGCTGAGGCAAACAGGAGCATAGACATTAGAAGGAAAGCTTCCTGGCTATGGCAGTGGGTGGGGAGGTTACAGACAGGAAATTCTTCCTGGGGCAGAGATGCTTGAGGTGAGACATGCGGGAGGAGGAGTATGTTAACAAGGCAAAAACACATAGAAAACTAGGTATAAAGTAGGGAGATCCTCATGTGAACTTTGAAAAGAGATTTGAATAAGAAAAACTTTGGAAAACAAGAGGAAGAATGTGAAGTGTTGGGAAGTAGCTAAAGTCTTAGGTTCCCTCAATTTATTTAGAGTCGGAAATTTTTTAAATTTAATATTAAGTAAATAGTCTGGAGAAATGCCAACTTCTCATTAAAACATGTAAGCTGTCTTAGTCTGCTCAGGCAAAAACAAAATATTACAAACTGGGTGGTTTATAAACAACACATTTCTTTTACACTATTTGGAGGGGGGCCGTCTGAGGTTAGATGAGGATTCCCTTCTGGTCACAGACTTCTCATTGCATCCTACGTGGCGGCGGAAGGGGCTAGGGAGTCCTCTGGAGACCCTTTATAAGGACATTAATCCAACTCATGAGGACTACCCTTTGTGAATTAATCATCTCCTGAAGGCCCCATTCCTAATACCATCACTTTGGGGGTTAGGATTCAACATATTAATTAGACAGGGACACAAACATCCCACCATAGTGTAAGTGCTCTTATAGCCTCCTAAGCATGGGATGTTAACATACTCTTTATTAAAGGTCCATAACTCAGCCCACATATGAATGCTTCCTGTTACAGGTGTGCAAAGATGGGTTACACAAGTGTTTCCTTAATTGAAAAGGTGCTTTATCAGTCAGGTTGGATGTGGTTGTATCAGAGTAACCATCCCCAAATCTCAATAGCTTGGTTCCTCTCTCCCCTGTGCCTACTTCTACCTTGTCACTGTCCTCTCTCTGGGACCCAGGCTGAGGGAGCAGCACTGGAACGTTACCAGTCTGGGGAGACTGGGGCAGAGCACTCAGACTCTTCAAGTTCTGCCAGAAGCAGCACATGGCAGGTCTGTTCAAACTTTGTCAGCCAAGTTCAGTCACATGGCCACGCTCACCTTCAGCAGAGGGGGTACCCAGCATCTTCCCCAGAAAGGGAAAGCAGATGACCAGTAAGAGGCTCACCAGGTGGGAGATTGGAGCATTTTGTTATTCACACTTGACTCATGTGAACAAGTCCCTGAAAAGGAAACCGAGGCTTGAGCGGTGAGATCATTTGGCCACGGTCACATAGCTGATAAACTGCAGAACCAGGTCTCTAAGCCTGACCACATAGGATCTTAACCATTGCCTCCTAGTAATAAAATTTCTCAAGCATCTCAGTGCCCTTTCCCTCCAAGCTACCAACCCCCTCCACCTCCAAAAATAAATTTACATCATCCTTCAAATTACTTCCTGCTGGAGCCAAAACATGACATTTTTTCCCCACAGTGTCTTCCCCTCTGTCTCACAACAAAATATTTTTCTTGGTTTTCGTTATCTCTGCCTTTATTGCTGCCACTTCCTTTAGTGACTTTTTAGGCTGGGTCTGTTTTCTCGACTAAATGTAGTTATAACATTGCCAACAAGTGTGTCTTCCTTGTCTAATTCTATCACATGTGACACTATTAGACATTTATCAGTGGGAGCCATTTCTCATTACATCAATCAATAAATCAAGGAGTACGTGGGCTTAGCAACATGGTGGACAACATGAGACACTGAGGAGAGTGTGTGCCAGTTAAGCTTTGGTGAAGAGAAAAGAGTAACTCACTCCCAAGAAAGACACGTAACTGAGACGGGGCACCTTGTGTGGGGTGCTCTGTTTGACCATTACATAAATCTATACATACACTTAGGAGAGGCCCTCAGATTTGACTCTACAGTTTTAGAAGCCAGCAGGAGAATTACATGAATGGACATTTTTGAGGAAAAGTTGATGAAAATTAAATGTTGTTACTTCTTACTACCAACACAAGCCTAACATCAACCAACATAAGCCCTGAAGTCAAAGGGAGTATTTGTTACCAGGTGCCATGCAGGGAGTGTAGACCTCAACAAAGCATAAACAGAAGCAAAAGGTAAATTAAATCAAGACACCCTAACTAGAATTTTAAGTAGGAAAGGGAGGGGAGATTTATTGAGGAGTTGCCTGTGTCTTACGGAAATACTATTTGTAAAGAATGTTTATTGTGAAGATAACCTGCTCCTAGTCACACGGTCACACTCCTGCTTGACAATGCTGACCCCTCCCCCTTTCCCTGTGCGGGTCAGTGATGACCATGAAGGGAAAGAGGCCGCCTGCCTGTGCCCTCCCTGCTCTTCTCTTGCAGCATTTCCGAGGGAGCCTCTGTCAGAGCCACCAGACCTACTGCCTGAACTACTCCGCCGCTGTCTTTTACCTCGAGAGCCTGAAGCAGAGAGAGGACTTTGGAATTTACTTAAAAGTAAAGTACCATCTTCTTTTCTTTTTATAATTTTCCTGAGACTCTTTGGGGTACAATAGGTACTAGGAGTTATACCCAAAATAAGTGAGAAAGAAGAACAGTAAATGATCAACAATACACTTGAACTACAAATCTGCTTTCCTCATCAACACACACCTCCCACTGCACACTGAGGAATTCTAAGTGGTGCACATCTGGAAACATTGTATCATCTCATGTCCCTCCTAAATTTTTGGCAGGGCCTTACTTACCAATGTTTTATTTGTTCATTGGCGTGTTTGTGAACGAAGTCGGTACACTGTAAGGAGAAAGCTACAATAAGAAGAGGCTTTGTGACTAGAAGTTGGGCTCTTGTAGGATTTGGTCCCAGCAAGATGCTGTTGCACACAAGCTTGGAGAAGCATTTACATTGTATTCTGTGCGAAGGGCGCCCCCTGGAGTACTTCATAGGGCGCAATGTAGATGTTGCAGCATGGTGGCTATGGGTTCCAAAGCATCAGAGCAAAGAGTTTCTGCTAAGGACAGTCAGCATTTGCTAATAAGTCGGCACGGACAGAATGGTCCTTGACTTCACCAGTTCCTTTGACCCCTCTTTTGACATTTCTTTAGTATGAACTGCACCTTTCCAGTATTATGCCAGAGCCCTTTTTATGATCCAGAGAAAATAGTCCAAGCCTTTTCGGAAAACTAGCTCTCCTGGCAGTTGCAAAAGCCCCCGGCAGAGCACCACCTCAGAGGACAGGGAGGAAGGGCTGCCCAGGTTCCAGGACTTACCTGTCGCCCAACTATGCCAGGAGGCCTGGGTGCAGCATGGCTGAGAAAGGAGGATAATCTTGGGGGAGAGACTCGGCCTTATTTTTTGTAGCTTTAACCATTCATTCGGTGTTTTCTTAGCTACTCAATAAGAACGGAGAGCTCATTAGCTTTCCAGATGTATGAATAATCCTGTTACAGAAGTTTTCCCCGGAAGCGGATGATTAGACTCCCAGCCTGGCCCCCAAACTGGGGAGAAGCCAGTTCCATGTCTCTCTCTTCCAAGCCAGGCCAGAGGTTACTTTAATGAGGCGCAGCCACCATTTCCCAGTAACTTTGGAAAATACCATACCAATTGTGACATAGAAAGGTGGTTTACATCTTTATATGAAATATGCACGGCATCCAAAGATAACATACAATTATAACGCATAACGCTTTACCGGCATCTTTAGTTTCTCAAACATCTCTTTTAATCCTTGGCACAAAACTTTGAAGTTGATTATATTGTCCCCAGGTGTCCCTGAGGCTCAGAGAGATTGTATGGTTTTTGCAAGGTCATGTGGCCAATAGATGGCAAAAATGAACCTGGATAAAGGTCTTTGGGCAAAAATAAAAATAATAAAAAAAATGCTCTTTCCACCAAAATTACTTACAGCTCCTCAGAGCTAGGTCCCATCACCTGGCAACTGTGAGCATCATGGAACAGGTGAGGGGTCAGGAAGAGGCTGTAGAGCAGTGGTTCTCAACCTTCTGGCCCTTTAAATACAGTTCCTCATGTTGTGACCCAACCATAAAATTATTTTCGTTGCTACTTCATAACTGTAATGTTGCTACTGTTATGAATCATAATGTAAATATCTGATATGCAGGATGGTCTTAGGCGACCCCTGTGAAAGGGTCTTTCGACCGCCAAAGGGGTCGCGACCCACAGGTTGAGAACCGCTGCTGTAGAGGCATTGAAAGTGAACCTGCTTTCCACAGCCACATAGTACAGAACAAAAGCATCATCACAGAGAGCTAGTAATAATTTAACTATAGCCTAGTAAATATAATGCTTATAATATAATAATTGCAATATACAGTAAATAATAATAAAGGGGGCTGGTTCTCAAGGCCTTGCTTCGACCAGCCACTGCTGGTCATCATGATCTCTTTGTCTACACCAGGGGCGGGGAACCTTTTCTCTGCCAAGGGCCATTTAGATATTTATGACATCATTTGTGGGCCATCCAAAATTATCAACTAAAAATTACGTTGCTATGAAAAAGCTCCTAGATTTATTGAACTTTGAGTCCTGCCTGTGGTTGCCTCGGCGGGGCCAGACCAAATGATACAGCCCGCGGGCCAGACGATCCCCACGCCAGTGTACACAGTCACCCTGTGGGATGTGATAGTGTCCCCATTACTCAAGGGCTTAGACACATTAGGCAACTCGCTGAAACATACGGTTGTTCAGGGCAGAGACAGGATTTGACTCAGACGTGTGTGAAGCTGACCTTCATTCCCTACTATGCACTGACATAAACAATATCCGTGGAAGACCTAAGCCTGTGTTGTGTCATGGGCTGCCTGGAATGGAGGCATGCCCTGGGATGAATTCACCCTCCCTGCCACGTGGGGCTGGCTTTATGAAAGCCTGTACAGTACGTTGGTGCACATTGGTGGGAGTAAAATTCTCCCTTCTCGGTCAGAAACAATTAAAATGATGCAGAGAAAGAGACTGGAACTTTGTGCCAGGGCCCTTCATGGAGTTCTGTTAACCATCGCTAAGAACTCCTTGGACTGAGTGTTCGGAATGTGCCAGCCACTGTTTGGGGCGCTTTGTATGGATTCTCAATAAAACCTCTCACCACCTGCTGAGGTAGTTATCCTTGTTACCCACATTTCACAGATGAGATTTATAGAGTTTAAGTAAATTACCCAAAATTCTAAGAATGGCTGCCCCAGCACAATATTGCATTTCACCAGGACAGATTTATGAGGAGAATGAATTTATGTGTCCCCATGTGTCCCTGAGACTCAGAGAGGTAATATTGTTCAACTCAACGGGCCCCTGAATTCCATTCACTGTTACCCTAAACATATTGGATATTTATTATAAAGCAAAAGCATCCTTCATTGATCTAGGCCTATCCATAAAAAGCCTTTTATGTCCAATTTCTCTTGACAGAGATGTTCTTTTTTCCCCCTAATGGATCTGAAAATTAAAGCCAATAGATGAAAGAAAAATTTATACCTACTTTTAGAACTATCAAATATATTTTTCTCTCTTCTGAGGCTTCTGAAACACTAAAAGATTCTAATATTCCTGCCTGGATCTTCGTCTCAATTATTTACCACTGGTGCTTCTTGCCGGGTTGGTGTCTGAGGTAAATTGGGTGTTTTCACATGTACTCAGGATGCTGGCAGCCAGAGCTGTTTTCAACGGCATGGAAATTTGGGGCAGTGGCCCTGGGCTATGTTTGAGGAAATACCTAACTGCTTCTGAGAAATCAGTTACTGGAGCTCCCAGACACCAGAGCTAGAATGCTGCTGCCAGTGAGACAGGATGGAAACCAGCCACTGAGACCATAGGCTAAGGCCTCTCCACACCCCTCTTTTCCACCCGTTACCACCGTTGGCCTTTCCACATCTGCAGTTTCTGCTTCCATCTCCATCTCTCCCAACATCAGGGAGAAAGAATCCCAGCCGTTGTGAGCCAGGCGAGAACGTGGAGGTGATCTAGTACCTTCCCCCAAGAGGAACCTGACGTACAGAGCAGGGGAGGTGGTCCCTCAGGAAGCCTTGAGGCCTGGCTTCTCGAGCTCCACTCACCCTCCAGCCTCCAGCCTCCAGCCTGTGCTCACTTTCCTGGCCTGCCTTCTGCATGTAGGGGTGGAGAAGATCATGTCCAGCGAATCCCCGTGAGGAAGAATCCAGGATGTTCTCAAAATAAATATTTTGATGAAGTTCCTGGTGGGAGAGGGTGAAACCCCCAAGGACATGTTCACGCTATGAAAGACAAGGGCAAATTGCTAAGCATGAGGGTAGGGGAAGAGGGTAGTTGGAGAGGGGCAGAGAGAGGAAGAGCAGCTCTCTCTTTCCAAAGAAGAAAATGGCACATCAAAATGCAGTGGGGGTGATGTCGTGGGCTGTGTATTTGACCCGTCCCCACAACCCAAAGTCTTCAGTAAATATGTTCACTCATAAAACGTTTGGCATGAGTGGGGTTACAGTGGAAACCAGCATAGGACACCAACCAGGGGGCTACGTTTGGCATCAGTGGGCACATGCTGTTCAGGGAAGAGAGTATGTGTGCCAGCAGGGGCCAGAGGAAGCCATTCTAATCGCAACCATTCCATAAATTTGTAAATATCTAGAGAGAGTTTTGGACTTGGTGGGGGGTTGAGCCAATTGCACCTAGATCTCTAAAACGCAAGGGCAGACACCTGGGCACAAAGATGTAAGAAGCTATGTTTGGGGAAGCAGAGGGAGCCTTCCACAGTGCATGCCTAAAGCTGGCCTTCAGGGTCTGAGTCACAAGGCAGAGGAGGTCACCTGGGCCTGGCTGGAGCCCGACCTGCAGAGAAAGCTGAGAGCCGCGTGCAAGGGCAGGGCTCCCCCAGCGCTGAACTCAGGTGTGAGTGCGCAGGGGAGACAAGAGAAGAGGAAGAACATGCATCCCCTAGTAATACCTTCTGGTGGACCTATGTGCACAGTAGCCAGAGACCTGACTCCACGAGTCATGTGTCATCTGCACAGAAGCCAGGCCGCTCAGGTTCAAGACAGCATCACATTCAAATAAACAGCCCAGCAGATGAAACAAATTTGTGAGCCATTCTCAGGATTAGTTGCGTTTGTCAAATGCCATTTATAGAGTGGTTCTCAACCTTCTGGCCCTTTAAATACAGTTCCTCATGTTGTGACCCAACCATAAAATTATTTTCGTTGCTACTTCATAACTGTAATGTTCCTACTGTTATGAATCATAATGTAAATATCTGATATGCAGGATAGTCTTAGGCGACCCCTGTGAAAGGGTCGTTCAACTGCCAAAAGGGTCGCGACCCACAGGTTGAGAACTGCTGCATTTATAGAAATCGAATGTGTAGCCCACAGCAGTACTTACCAGAGTTCCTTTCCCTGCTTCCCGGTGCTTTGCACACCCTGCAGCTGCCTCTGAGTCAGACTCTCTCGCTACTGAAAATTGTTTGTGTCTTTATCCCTTCCCTCTCCCTCTCGCCTCTGTAGCATGTAGCTCAATCTAGCCTCTTCAACTTCTATTCATTTTCTCCTATTACCCTCCTTCCCTCCAAGAAAGGAGACTCAGGGAACTGATCCAACAAGCAAACAGCCTTCCTTTTCCCTCCATCTGTTGATTCTCAGTTCTCCTAATTGTGCCTCACAATGAGGGATAGAGCTGGAAAAAACAGAAATCTCCTTCGAGGGCCAGAGAGAAGGAGAAGCCAGTGGGACAGCCGAACTCTTGGGTGAGAAGGGTAAACGAGACTGGAACATGTATAGTAATACCTCTTAACCCTGCCACAGAGGGAACGTGTGTTCTCTAGGGAACTTGCGAAATGTTACACTTTTCTCATGCCTCTTCATCTTGACAAGTTCCCCACTGAGGAGGAGGGAGAGGTGATGTGATAGTGACGCTGAGCGCTGCCTTCCTCACCATCACTGGGAAGGCAAGACAGCCGGAGAAGGATTCTCCCTTCTTTGATTGGAAAGTGACAATGTTAGTCAGTAATGTTCAATAGTACCTCTCAACCGCATCTAAGAACCTCATTTCAGACCCTGAATTTGCTAAAGACACTTTAATAAGGATTTTCAAAAGCAACATCTGGTCTGTGGCTTATAAGCGTCCCCAGCAAGCTCACAGTTGCGTCACGTTGTCACCCAGTGAAATAGCTGAGGGTGTTTCATGCCCAGGCTTCTCGAGGCTTTGATAGGAGAAGTGATGCTCTGATTCTGTCTGCGTTTCCTTCCCTAGTGGTGTGAGCAAAACGAACAGTGCAGGCGGCTTCACCTGGCTGAGCTGCTGGTGGCCCCCCTGCACAGGCTGACCCGGTACCCCTTGCTGCTGAAGAATATCTGGAAAAGGAGCACAGACTCCACTGAGAAAATCATGATCTACTCCATCAAGGAAAAGGTGGAAAAGTCAATCCGTAAGTCCCCGAGATAAGTGGCCCAGCTCAGTGGAAGCTGCATGGAGGGCTGGAGGCCCGCTGGCTCTCGGAATGATCTGAGTTTCATCCTAGACCAGTGATGGCGAACCTATGGCACGCGTGTCAGAGGTGGCACGCGAACTCATCTTTTTGGTTGATTTTTCTTTGTTAAATGGCATTTAAGTATATAAAATAAATATCAAAAAGATAAGTCTTTGTTTTACTATGGTTGCAAAGATCAAAAAATTTCTATATGTGACACGGCACCAGAGTTAAGTCAGGGTTTTTCGAAATGCTGACACGCCGAGCTCAAAAGGTTCGCCATCGCTGCCCTAGAAGGTGGTTCCGTTGACTTGAGGTTATGGCTCTGGGAAATCAAACGCACACACAACAATGGGTTCCAGGCACATCCTGGCCATCCCTACGAGAACTCCACCAGAAGTTTACCCAGGACGTGGCTGTCTCCAAGGCTTTCAGTGTGAGTTCAGGCAGGAAAAGTTCCACTTCCCAGATGGTTGAAGGCTTTGTTTTTCATATCTATGCTGAACCCAAACACAAAGCAAATAGGAATAAACACCATGGGGGGCCTTTCCGGAGGATAAATTGCCATTCATTATTTGTAGGTCACTGAAATCCAGGGCCAGTCTAAAAACAATGCCAACTGCAATCTTTAGAACTGAAGTTTGGGAGTGGGAACAGAACAACCCTTTGATGACTTAAGTTTATTTGGGTAGCTCTGTATAATTAAATTCAAATAAAGAAGTTCATGATATATGCCCACAAACCAAGATTTCCTGGGAGTGTCAAAAGGGAGCAATTCAAGTTTATGATTATCAGCTGTACAGAAATGACATATTTTTTCTTCTGCAAGTTTAAATGTAAAAATGACCATGCAATGGGAGTTTTTTAATTTTTCTGCTCAAATCCTAAAATGACTCAAGGAACTAGGATTAAGTTTATCAACTGGATAAAACAAAAATTCAATTAAAAATAGACTTTAAAACTTTTAAAGTAATTTGAAGATTATTACTCATTTTAATAGCTTTGTGAAGAAGATAATAGCATCTTTTCTGCAGATTTCTCAATAACATCTGGATTTTTATTATTTGGGAAAGAGATTGCTGTGACCTTCCTTTAAGTCTATGAGCTTAAAGAGGGTGAATTCTGAAGGATTCCCCTAAGGGTGTGATTCTACTATGGGTCTATGATTTTCCCTCCATGTTCCCCCAAATAATTTCAAAACCACAATAACAATGCTATTATATAGTGTTGGGAAATTAATACAGACCTTCAAAAAATAAGCTTTTGCCAAAACAAAATAATTATATTTATCATAAAGCAAATGTGTGTTTTAGAGTTAAGATAAAAATATACGTTGGCTCTTTTTTTCTTCCTCTAATTACAGGCTATGTGGTGTAGGGAATAAGAGAAAACTACCAGGGACTTTATTTGTATTATTTAAATAAAAATGCACAATACATTTCAACTTACTGTATTAAATTGTTTAAATTTTATTTCTCTTTGCAAGAGGCTGATTTCAAATTATTGAGTTTTTCTAAGACATTTAAACTGCAAGCACTATGTTAAATGAAACTAAGATATGGTTTGGCTCTAGGAGCAGTGTCTCTAAATTATTACTGTACATCTTGCTTAAAATTTATGCTGTATGTCACATGAATTTAAAAATATATTGAATGTGCCTTGTCTTTCAGGGGATCTTGAAGGAAAAGTGAAGTGGCTTGACAATTTTCAAAAATTTAGACATCTTCAGGAGATTATAGTGTGGCCTCCACTTTGGGATAGAGATAAAAGGTTTTTCATTCCAGAGGTACAAAGAGGATCCATTAAGACTTATGTTTGGCATTCCGTTGGAAATACACTAGTCTTTACAAAGTCCCCAGCTGTCCACTTGGATATTGAATCTAGTTTTACGACCAAGAACTACAGCTTTTTACCACGTGGCCTTGTATGTGGGGAGGCTGGCATCAGCACGCCATTCCCGGGGTGGTCCTTCTGAGGGCTGTGCTCATTCTTTCCCATCCCCGTGTCCATCTCCCGACGTTTCTAAATGTCTTGAACTTTATAGACAGAGTGCACTGCCCCAGCTCCCGGAACCTGTTCTCTTCCAACCACTAACAACCTCTCTTTGATTGTCTCTCTTGTTTTTCAAGTGCCTGAAACACATTTTTAAAGAGCATATGGCAGAAAACATCCTGTCACCAACCAACAGACACCTTCTCTATGAGGGAAAATTAACTCTTGCAGGTAAATAGCTGTTTCCTTTAAAAACCCAACATCTTTGCTACCATGTAACGTGTCCAATTGTTGCCCATTGAAGAGTGTATAGAGTTGTGTTGGCCTATGGCCAAGGCCATGGAAGATGTGAGTCAGAGAATATGCTATGGACTCACACATGTGTCAGCTTGATCAAAGACTTCACAGCATAACTAGCTATGCACCCTGCATTTTCTATCTCTAAAATGGGATAACTATTTCATAAGGTTGTTGTTAAACTGAAACACATGAAGAGCTTAACTCAACGTTGGGAACATCATAAACACTCCACATCAGCTGTTGTCATGCTTATACTCCTCCAATGCGCTGGGCAGTCATCCCATCGGTGTTGATGGAGAACCTGTTATGTAACAGGTTGTGCTGGGTAGGCATCACTGGAGGATATAAGGTCATTATTCCGTTTAATCCTTTTCCTCTAGTTGGGAAGCTCTGCTGTAACAGGCAGACCTGCAGGATAAATTCAGAAAAGAAGAGAGGCTGTGGGGCTGGGGTACCCGGGAGGGGCTTTATGTGCTCCGTGGGAGCAGAGGTGGGCTTGTGGGGGACGGAAAGATGGAGGTCAGTGGAAGGACAGGAGGGGGGACCTCCCAGATGAAGAGCGTGGCAGGAGAAAGGGCTTGGAGGCGAGGCCACCTGGGAGAATAGGCTGGTGGAGTGGTTGGGAGAGGGAGCCCTGCAGGCTGACTGCCAGGTCACTTCCCAGCTCGGCCTTTTCTGCCTGTGCAGCCTTGGCCCGAATACAGCAATCTCCCCCTTTGTTGTAAATGAGCTAATGGATGCACAACCACTGAAAATGGTAGGCACAGAATCAGTGCTCAATAAATATTCTCATCAGAAAGGGCTGCCTGACCCAAGTAGGGTTTGTATGCATTCATCTATTTGCTTCTGCACAAAATCTTGATTGAGCACCTACTGTGTGAGAAGTGAGGTTGCCTATTTATGGTAGCATGAGATCTGGTGGGGAGTGCCAGGCCATAACTCTGTATTCGATACACATTTGTTGAGAATCTGCTCTATTTTAGCTCTACATGTCAGGTTGGAACGTAACCCCTACCTAGCAACTTCCAGCTAGGGATGGTTGACATGCCCAGCATTTTACATCAAAGGACTTTTGCACTCATTTTCTCCTTCCAGTGAGTTATGCAGAGAAGTTATACTTAATCCCAAATTATAGGTGAGAAGTATGAGGCTCAGGGAGGTCCTGTATCATGTTCAAAGTCAGCTGGAGGTTAACAGCAGAGTCCAGGCTGCCTCAGCCCAGTGGGCTTCCAGAATCACAGCACCTGGCTTGGGAGCCAAACAGAAGGAAATTGCCAGTGACAAGTGACAGGCTTAAAAAGGTGCTGAAGAAAGAGTCATCAGAAGCAATGCACAAAATGGTGCAGAGAAGGAGACCAAAGCAGGGAGACCAGCTCAGAAGCTCCGCCATGAGGCAGGGTGAGGCGAGACGACCCGGAGCCTGTTTCTCAACCATTCTTAACCTCTACCAGGGGTGGAGAGCGTCTGGCCTTTGGGCCACATAAGGCCTGCAAATCATTTGGTCTGGCCCTGCCCAGGCATTAGGGGGGTGAGTTAATTAAATGTTTGACCAAATATAGCAGGCTAATTTTTAAGTTGATAATTTTATATGGCCACAAATAATTATAAATATCCAAATGGTCCTTTGCAGAAAATAAGGTTCCCCACCCCCGCTAGACCATCACCCTCCCACTTTCATTTGGAAAGATAACAAGTTTACATTTTCTTTGATGTTATTTATAATTTTAAAATTTATATATTGTGACAAAATCAAATCAAAATAATGAAGCAAAATACAGCTCTGTGTTCAAATATATGCCTCTTCCTCCAAAATTGGCCTCCACCTGGAATTATCAGAAGTTTTAATTCACCCCTTCCCTCTATCTACCAACTTCCCAACACTGTGAGATGTGCTGGCACGTTCTAAAATGTTAGAAATGGGCCTGGATAGAAAAGTATAAATGTGAGAGATATTTCAAAGGCAAAAATAGGAGAACTTTATGATTGGCAAAATGGCTGAAGAGGAAATGAGTCAATGCTTTCAAGTGTTGTGCCTGAAAGTCAGGTTGACCACACTGAGGGAGGCAGAGGGAGTGGGTCAGGGAGGCAGTGTTAGGGTTCAGGTGTGGGCAGGATGAGAAGCCACATGGAAGTTGGATGAACATGACAATGACCAACTCTGGTGAAAAGCTATGTTAGATGCGCACCCGCACGTAGCTTTGGGGTGCTTGTCAAGGAAGTGCGGGTGGGAGACTGACCTAAGAAGGAGTCTTTAATAAAAGACCCAACTTTTCAGAAAACGTTTCTTGTAGAGTCAAATGTGGTAAATGAAGATGAACCTCATCAACATCACTAACTCCAGACACTTGCTTAAAGCCATATGCTGGGTGGCTCAGATGGCGTCAGAGAGGAGGCAGCATCAAGTTTAAAGTCACGGGAACTTTGACCCAGAGTTGGCGTGGCGATGTGCTGGGGGTGGGGGTGCTAATGTTTGAAGAAATGGGACATCATTTTGAATGGATAAAGCATTAGACCAAGAATGATGATACCTAACACATAAATTTTGGTTCCAAATTTATTTCAGCTTTAAAAACTCTTCTAGTCTAACCAAATAAGTATATTTTCTCATTCTCAGAAAGTACAAGTTTTTATAACTTAAAGCCAACTTCCCATGGGAAGTCATGCCAGAATACCCTTGGCAAATGTGTTGCTCCACACAGACTGGCATTTCTAAATAGAAAAGTGAGTAAGGTGCCGACACATAGGCTGGCCTGACAGCTGTGACACTCAGAGAAGACGTGCTGTTCAAGCTGCTGCAGCTCGGAATAAGGCAGTAACGCAGCTCCGTCTGGAACAGCGCGAAGAGAACCCCCGCCCAGACTCTATGGGAAAAAATAAAGACGGTTCAGATCTGGTTGTGCAGCACTTGGCTAAACAGAATTTCAGACTCACAGTGCTCAATAGTTACATCTCATAAAATCACTTGGTCAAGGTGTTTCACTGGCTGTACCAGCTTCAAACTGCTTGGCGATAAATGTGAACAGCCTGATTTTATGCTTACAATCGTCCTCCTTAACCTCCTCTTTTGCCTGACCATGTCTACTTGTTAGCACTATCGGTTTCTGAATTTATCTTATTTTAAATCTTGTTTACTGTTTGTTATGTGTCTGCTTCCCGTAGGATTAAAGCTCCTTGGAGACAGAGTCTTCTTAGTCATTGATGCAGGGTAGGGCGTCAGCATCAGTTGACTTCTTGGTGGGACACGAGGGATTCAATAAATAGCTAAAATAATCATCAGTTCCTAGAATATATTGTAGGACATAGCAGATGCTCGCGGCTAGTTTGTTAAAATAAAATACTTAAAATCATCAAGAAAAAAAAAAAACTATTTCATTTTGACAATAATCATCAACCTAATCTATATATGAATGGCACAGAATGGGAAAAACAGCATTTAAAAGGTCTGAAGGTCTAATATTATCTAATGCCTCATTCCTGGTGCCATGTCTGTATTGGTTAAGATGTGGGTTCAGCCATTGGAGACAAGAGAGATAAGGATCACTTAAAAAGACAAGCTTACTTCTCTGGCTGTAAAACTCGGCTGTGTGACAGCTCTCCTCCATGGTGTGACTAGGGCCCAGGCTTTTTCTGCCTTTTGCTCTGCCATCACGGGGTACTGCTTTCTTCCATGTGGTCCCAGAGGAGTCACAGGGCGGCGAGCCGGTGGGAAGGGGGAAAGGGCAGGAGAGCAAAGCCCTGCTGTTTAAGGGAATGATTCACAAGTTGCACACTTTTACTCATATTCCACTGGTCGGAATTTACTCATTTGGTCATATTTAGCTGCAAGGGAAGCTGGGAGATGTAGTATTTATTTGCAGGGAATATGTACCCACTAAAACTCAGAAATTTCATTACTACAAAAGAAGGGAAATGGTTTTTTTTGAGGGACAATCAGCAGTTTTTGCTATAGGCTGATTTGAAAAAAATAGTCTCTAGTAGTGATGGAATACAATGTTTTAAAAATATTCAAGGCCCTAACCGGTTTGGCTCAGTGGATAGAGCGTCGGCCTGCGGACTCAAGGGTCCCAGGTTCGATTCCAGTCAAGGGTATGTACCTTGGTTGCGGGCACATCCCCAGTCGGGGGTGTGCAGGAGGCAGCTGATCGATGTTTCTCTCTCATCAATGTTTCTAGCTCTCTATCCCTCTCCCTTCCTCTCTGTAAAAACTCAATAAAATATATTTTTAAAAAGTTATAAAAATATTCAAGGACAATTCAAGATTGAATGAAAGGTCTAATTTCTTTTCTGTGCAAATATGGAAAGAATCTTTCTTTCCTTCAAACTTAAAGAAGTGGAGGAAATAGAAATGAAACCTAAGTATTTTATCTACTAATTTAATCTTAGCCCCCTAGTTTTCAGGGATAAAACTATCTGAAAAAGAATTTCTACAATAATATAAATGAACAAAATAAACAGAATAATGAAAAATATTTACTGATTTAAAAAATATTTACTTTAAGTATCTGTCACATCCCCTCTGGACAGGCTGTGTTTTCCTCTGAAATCACTTAAAGTTAACTATTTCTTCTGCTAACTCCTATGTGGTAAAGTTAGAGAAGGAGATACCCTATTCTAATATTTGATTTCTCTTCTACCACTGGCCCCTTCCTAGAGAAAGGTAGAAAAGCCTGCTTGCCTTAAGTTACTATCAAAAGTTATACCAAAAGCGTTTGTAAATATAAAGCTATGTGAAGAATATTTGGACATGTAAATCTTGCAAAAAAGTAAGATGATTGCCTAAGTCAGCTTCGGCCACCATAACAAAATACCGTACCCTGGGTGGTTTAAGCAACAGAAATTTATTGCTCACAGTTCTAGAGGCTGAAAGTTCAAGGGCAAGTTGCCAGCCTCATTCGCTCTCCGGTGAGGCTCTGCCAGCTTGCCGGTGGCCTCCGCTCAGGGTGCACACGTGGCTCTGGCTCTCTCTCGCTCTCTCGCTCTCTCTCTCTCTCTCTCTCTCTCTCTCTCTCTCTTCTTATGACACTAATCCATCTGGATTAGTGCTCCACCCTCAAGCCCTCATTTATTCTTAATTACTTCCTTATTCCCCAAACAGCCACACTGGGGAGTTAGGACTTCAACGTATGAATTGGGGAAGGGGGCACAATTTAGTCCACAGCAATGACAAAATGCCCTTTCTGGGGGTAATGCATACCAATGACCACCCAGATGAGTCAAGAGGCAAAAATGCTGTAAGTTTAATGAACTGATAGATGTGTCTTAGGCTTCGTTGAAGCCATTACAATCATCATCCAAGTTATCTTAGATCCATGTGAAATGCATCACAAATACAATGTCTTTAAAGCTGTGAGCTTGAGCTCACGCCACGTCTCTGCTTTAAGGAAGAAATCGATTCAGTACCCTTGCAGGTTTCTGACCCACAAGATCTGATGCCCTGAACTGCTGGTCTGCTGTGCCAGGGAGCCCTGCTGGATTTGTTTCCTGAGGAATCCTTTGATTTAAATAACAGAAATCCTTTTACTTACAATTTCCAACCCCAGTTTCACTTTCTTTCTCTCCCCAGAAAGTACCAGATTCCTAGATGTTTATCTGTTTCTCTTTGATGATTTCCTCTTAGTTACGAAAACTAAGCGCAACAAAAAGGTAAATTCTGCTATTTCTTAATAAGTCTGCTAAATATGCTCAGAAATACTTCCAAATAAGTTGTGTTAAAAATACATAATATTTTCATACATCAAATTGGAATTCACCCTCTAAAAATGGAAACACTACACAATATTGGCGTTTTCAGACAGATAGTTCTGAACGAAACATACCAATAACAAAAGCAAGTTACACTTCTTAAGGATGTCAAAGATGTGTACATTTTTAGCATAACTTAGTCTATATACTTTTAGGGCAGCAATGGTGAACCTTTTGAGCTCGGTGTGTCAGCATTTTGAAAAACCCTAACGTAACTCTTGTGCCGTGTCACATATAGAAATTTTTTGATATTTGCAACCATAGTAAAACAAAGATTTATATTTTTGATATTTATTTTATATATTTAAATGCCATTTAACAAAGAAAAATCAACCAAAAAAAAAAAAAATGAGTTCGCGTGTCACCTCTGACACACATGTCATAGGTTCGCTATCACTGTTTTAGGTTAAGTCCCAGAGGCCACAGGACTATTCCTGGCCTGCCTGATCAAATGCAAGCCAAATGCTTTTGTCCGTACTGGCCCTTTCCTCACCCAAATTGTCCCCAGTGAACGCTGCAAGGGGGGAGGGGGGGGGGCGGGGCGGTGCTCTCTAAACTGTCTGCTGCCATGTGCCGAGGTGGTACCATCGAAAGCTCAAATCCTTCCTGGAAAATAGTGATTGGGGGCTGCGAGTGGGAGGGAGTCCTGCTCTCTCAGTATCTTCCTGTATATAAAACAGACATCTGCAGAAGCCAGTCAAATGTATAGCTGGCGTCACAGACAAAATGAGCCAATTTGGGGTTAAAGCCATTAAATCTCTTCCAAGAACAGGGATTTCCCCCATTACTTAAGTATTATGGCCCCTATTATTGTTGTTACTAATTAAGCCATGAGTATCATGGTCTAAAAGGCTTTCTATCTAATCTTCCATTTCCCAGTCTGTCCCCTGAATGGCATGAGTGATATTATGAGGGGGACTTCCTCTGAGGCACTCAGACACTGGCCCTTAGTTGTCAGCCATCAGAGGTACCCAATTCACCCACTTTGAACCATAACCTCTTGGTTCATGGGTCTACGCTCAACCACTGAGCCACACTGGCTGGGCTCACCCACTTTTTTACCTGAGGACTAGCCTTACACACATATAAGATCATGAGACTAGATATCTCAAATCTTTTAAGAATCTAAGCTTCTAGATAATATGTTGGTTAGTTAAGCTCAATAATTTAAGGATCTTTAAGCACTAAAATAGATACCCATTGATCAAACTATAAATAGTTGAATGGTCATTGAGGATGGAATGATATTTGAGAATATTAAGAATCACAGTTTTGAAACTTAGGTGGCCTTCTCTTGTAAGCTTCCCAGATGGCCATGTCTGAACAAGTCAAGCTCTGAAAAATCTCTATGGCCTTCAAAAACCTTGACACTAAGCACAGCCTACCTTCATATCAAATAACGACTCAAATCTGAGTACATGAGCTCATGGCAGCCTATATTGATTTACTATAAGGTAATATTCTGATTTCATGCTTCATAACTTGATCCCCAAATAAGGAATGTTATGTGCCTTAAATTCCTCTGTTTAATAAATCTGCAGAGTTTTATTGACTTCATAGGTGCAAAGATAATCAACCAGAGAAGACACTGGGTTTCACTTAGAAAAAAAAGGGGGGGAAAGAAAGAAATGTTGTGTTTTAAATCCCTCTTTGCAATTAAATGAACAACGTATGTCATGCAAATCACAATCTTTGACACCCTTTAAAAAATTCAACACCTTATATATTCAAAATAATTTCAATTACCTACAAATTATAGAGCGTGGACTCCACTTAGAGTTAGTATTAGATCCCATGGACAGAGTTGACCAAAATGAGGCTCCCCTTTCTCATCCACCTCACTCAATACTAGAGAGAGACACTGGAAATGAAGTGCTTTCCCATTGATGTGATGGTGATGAAAATGTTTCCCAATTGTAGATGTCACACATAACCTACTCAGGAAGTTAAATTTGGGTATCAGAAACACTATTCTGTAAATCACTATGTACTTTGGGGAAATGCATTTCAAGATCCAGGAAGAGTAATAAGCTGGATTTCAAGCAGTTGTTTCTTAAAATCAGTTTAGGGAGGTGCACCAATACTCATTTCCTCTTCACTGCATTATTTTCCCGTTTAATTTCAGAAAGTTGGAGGCTTGGACACAGGTGTAATGTGTCCTTCACTTACTCCTGAGCTGCAAACAGTAATAAAAGAGGGTGGTTCGTGTAAGGTACTCGATCAGCCCATTCCACTGGATAGATTGGTAGTCAAAAGTATTGATCTACTCCACGTATCAGGTATGTGCCAATTTTCATCGTTAATCTGCTTACCATCACAGAGTTTTATATTGGCTTTTATTGGTAATAGCACATAAATCCAATTTAAGTCTTCATAAAAGAAAATACTGACTTCCTATGTGGCTATGTATCACTCACTCTACAAATTAGTTATGGAAAGAGTATTGGACTTGGTCTCCAATGCTTGCATGTCCCAGCTCTGCCACTGCTAGCTATGTGATCATAGGCAAGGAATTTAAATTTTCTATGCCACAGATTCATCTTGGTAAAACTGGGATAATAATATCGATGTCAGTGGGTTGTCATGAGAATTTCATGAAATAATGCATATAAAGCACTCAATGAATGATGGCTATTTTTAGTATTGTTATTACTAGAGGCCCGGTGCATGAAATTCATGCGGGCGGGGGGGGGGGGTTCCCTCAGCCCAGCCTGCACTCTCTCCCCCAACTGCCCTTCCTGCCAGCCTAGTCACCCCACGCAGCCTGCTGTTCAGTCATTTGGTCGTCCCTTACTAACCCCCCTGCCGGCCTGGTCACCCTATGCAGCCTGCTGTTTGGTCATCCGTCCGGTTGTTTCAGTCATGACGGCCCCTGGCTTTTTATATATTAGGATTATTAGTACTCACTGGCACACCACAATACACTATGCAAGCCTAAGATATTCTACTACAATAACCATATAGAAAGAAATGTGCCAGAAATAATTTGTATACATATGCAGGTACACATATATACATACATGTCATGTGTATAGGTATATAATTTTCATTTTTCAAGCATTTCCTTAGTGTCTACTGAGAACCAGGCACTGTGTGAGTGCCCTAGAGTTATAAACAGCCCATTCTTGGGGCAGCTCTCAGAACAATGAGAGATTAGTAAACCCCATCAGGAAGGCCCTGACACTCAAGGGACTCACAGGACATTTCAGTCTCTTCAGTGCTGGGTGTTCAGGATGCAGGGGGTCATTCTGCCTTGGGTATAGGCTCCTAGGAGACCAGCAAAGCCAGGCAGGAGGGGATTGCCTTTCTGTTCCAAGGGAGGAGCAGGAAAAGAGGGAGCACTACCCATTCCCCTCAATTCCCACCCCAGCAGCCAAGCCCAAAGCATCAATGATGAGCATAGGAGGACCTATACATGCCTAGCAATATTACATAGTGAAGGAATGACTGAACACACAAACTGATAATAATAATAGCAACATTGACATCGTTATGGTATATAACTAAGTTATGTATGTAAATGTTTTACATGTGTTAAAAAGTGAATGGAGCAAACTCTTTTCTCCCTCAGGGGACTCCTGCATCTAGGCCAGAACCTCTATCTCCTTTGTCTATTCTTCTTTCCCCTAAGATTTTCTGAACTGTGACCTGGCAGGCCCCTAAGGCCTCTTATATCTGATTCCCCTGGGACCAATCACAGAGGGTGTGTGTGTCTCTGTGTGTGTGTGTGTGTGTGTGTGTGTGTGTGTAGGCCAAAGTCTGCATAAGCCAGAAAGCACGCCTAAAAAGGGACATCTGAGGGGAGCAAAACCTTTGCCCATGAGTGCATCCCCAGCCCCCACCCAATTCGAGCCTCCTCCCTGCTCAGAGCAGTGTAAATGGCAGAGATTCAGTAGGTGAGACCCAGAAATCACTTCCTTCTATTCGTTTAGTAACTTTTTCATGGGGAAAAATGTCATGTCAGAGGGCATCCTAGGCCTTGAATGTATTCCCTCCCTGTAACACGATAAATGGCTTGAGGAGAGGAAGCTGTCAAAGCCCCAAGTGGATGAGTGGAAGCAGCTGGGGCTCGGTTTAGCCATAGCCTGCTGGCTTTAAGAACTGGGCTTTATGGGAAATGTGATGTCACTGGATTACGTTGGGAGGTGTGTTTCTTATGCTCTATTCATTTTTTTTCTTTTATTTTTTTTTTAATAAGAACAATACCTTTTAAAAACTACATCCAGCATTTTTTGTTACTTTCTGATTTGTCACTGCCATCTCTTATTTCTGTTTTTTATTTTTTCCTCATTCCCCTGGTCTATTGTTTTCACTGTTCAGATCAAGTGCATGAGGCAGAATAGCTGCCAACTGAGAAAAAGTAAAGGGTGAAAAGAGAAGAGATTGAACTTTGAAGTGACAGAGACCTGGTTTCAAACTCTGGCTATGCCATGTCCTGTGTGAGCTTGGAAGAATTCATCTAAGTTTCTTTCCTCATTTGTAAGTGGGAATTAGCTGACCTATATTACACTGTTACAGTGTGGTTTAAATGACACAAAAAAGGAAAAAATAAATAAAACAGTACCAAGAAAGAGAAAGAGAGAGAGAGAGAGAGAGAGAGAGAGAGAAACAGCACAGTGCCCAGTGCAAAATAAGTGCTTATAAATGGTATAAATCATTATATTCATTATTTATTACTAGGGGCCTAGTGCACAAATTCGTGCACCTTGAAAGGAACTGTGCTCCGTGAGGCTGCGGTGGGCACAGGGGCGGGTCTCGGCCCACCTTCATGCCCCCACCTGGCCCTTCCTGCTGCGGCCCCTGGTTCCCTGTCTGCCAGTAGCCCCGCTGACAGCACCCGCCCTGCTCACACCTGCTGACAGCATGGAGCGATTGGGGCCAGTGCCAGCAGCAGGTGCAAGCGGTGGCTGCTGCCCTGATCGCCCCTCAGGAGCAGGGGGCAGTGGAGAAGCCCTGAGGGATGATCAGGGCCAACAGCCACCACTTACACCCACTGACAGGGCCAAGCGATCAGGGTCAGCGCTGGGTGCCAGCAACAGTTGCGAGCAGCGGGTCCAGCGCTGACTGCAGGTACGAGCAGGGCCGGCACTGGCAGTGGGTGCAAGCAGTGGCTCTGGCGCCAGCAACAGGTGCAAGCGGGGCCAGCGCTGGCAGCAGGTGTGAGTGCCGGACGGACCACAGCATGCTCGAGCAAAGAATTTTCAGTAACCATCAGAGGCTCGCCCTGATGACAGCAACTGGTGCCCTGCCTTGGTCTGGTGCCCCCACTCACCTGCTCCACCATCCTGTCGCGGCCAATGCCCACCATGTTCCACACATGCCCCTTGGTGGTCAGTGCACCTCATAGCGACTGGTTGTTCGGTTGTACTGCTGTTTGGTCTATTTGCATATTAGCCTTTTATTATATAGAACTAGAGGCCCACCGCGCAAAATCGCGTGAGACCCAGACCCGCCCACCTTGAAGACAGTTGTGGATGGAGATAAGAATAGTTTTCTGCCCTAACCTTTCTTTCTCAGGAGCACTTAAATTGACCTTTGTTGGAAGATGAGAATTGAACAGAGCAATACTTACTTATTCCCATGAAGAAATTAGATGACATTCAGCAGGTGCCTTTTGGTGTTTGGTCATTACAGTGTCACAGCCCCAGGTTTTTATAATAGAGATTATGTTAGCATGTCAGGGGGAAAGAGAGTTACCCCTGACCACATACTATCTCCTCATTTTCTTTTACAAGACCACCATACCAGGTCCTTTTGTTTCTAAAGTCCTTTGTGCCCAGGTTGCAAACCAAACAAATGAGGGACCCCTTCAGTAACTGAGAACTATAGTTACAAGTTTTGAGGAAAACAGATTCTAAGCGCTAGCTAAGAAAAACCACCTGCTCTTCAAAGCCTCACTTGCTACAGGGAATTTATAAGTGAGTAAAACAAACACAGGCAACCCTCCCTCTCTCCCCCTCCCCCCGCCCCGGAAGTCATTTTAGTAGATTTAAGCCCTCTCTTCTCAAATAAGCTTAACATGACCTTAACAGATATTGTGGTAGGATTTTGGAATTATGAGGTTTAGACAGTTATGAGTATAATTTGTGATACTGGAATAGTTCTTGCAGGTAAGAAAATAAAAATCTTGCATTTGCTTTGATTTTGAAGTAAGGCCCAATCTGCTTCAGTGAGTCTGAGTTAAACCCACAGCCTCCAATACAAATGATGGTGGACAAGCAGCAGCTTAATGATGAGCCAGGAATAAAACACTCTTCTAGAGCCTTTCTATATACTTGACACAACCAGGAAACACCCTGCTTTGATTTGTTTCTAAGCATTAATCAACTGTAGAAAGGATGTATAGGTGCAGAATTTTATTGTGTTGTATTAATAATTCAGTGAAGAAGCTTTTATTTTAAGAACTCCTGCTATATCTCTATATATAAAAACCCAGCGACCTGAACAGCAGAACAACCAGAATGACTGGAATGACCAGTGGCTATGACGTGCACTGTGGAAGCCAACCAGCCTGATCTGGCCCCAATTGCTGCCCCCCCCGCCCTCGCCCAGCCCAGCCTCCGATAAGCCCCCAACACCCCAGTCTGGGGCATGGCTGGCTGGCCAATTGCCCATGGTCCTTCCCCCTGGCCAGCCAACCACCCTTGGCCCCTCCCCTCCACCGGCCCAGCCCAATGGGCTCCCATCGGGGCAGGCCAGCCGGACCCACCCATGCATGAATTCGTGCACCAGGCCTTTAATATAGATATTTAAAAAGTGTCTGCCCTGGCTGGTGTGGCTCAGTTGGTTGGAACATCATCCCAGGCACCGAAGGGTCACAGGTTTGATTCCCGGGGAACATACACAGGTTGTGGGTTTGATCCCATTGGGGCATGTACAGGAAGCAAACAACTGATGTTTCTCTCTTTCTCTCTGTCTCTCAAATCAATTTAAAAATATATCCTCAGGCCCTGACCAGTTTGGCTCAGTGGCTAGAGCGTCGGTCTGTGGACTGAAGAGTCCCAGGTTCGATTCCGGTCAAGGGCATGTACCTTGGTTACGGGCATATCCCCAGTAGGGGGTGTGCAGGAGGCAGCTGATCAATGTTTCTCTCTCAAGGATGTTTATAACTCTCTATCCCTCTCCCATCCTCTCTGTAAAAAATCAAAATATTATATATATATATATATATATATATATATATATATATATATATATATAATCTCCTCAGGCGAAGATTTTTAAAAAAGTGTTTTTTTAAGGTGTCTGCTCTCCCACCATTTTCTGTCATTTCTTTAAGAGACCAGGGAAGAAATGACAGAACAGACTTCTTCTTTTGCAAACACAGGAACCATGGCAATGTGTGTTTCTTTTTGTCTTGTTTTACATTTCACTTACTTTGGTGGATGTTGGATTTTGAGTCTTTTTTTATTTTTGTCTTTTCTTACCCTGCTGTGAAGCATTTAAGTGGTTTTATATTTCTGCTACTTCTCAATTTGTTTATAACCCTTATTTTGATGTGGCTTCCTTTTAAATACAAAAATAAATAAAAAATTTTAGTAAGGGGTCTAAAAAGAAACAATAATCCCATTGTTTTCCATATTTTCATTATCTATATTTTACACACACAAAATCCAACATGCTAACATGCTCAGCTTCTTCCTTGAGTAGGAGCCCACTTCCCATCACATGCCGTTATTGCATTTCATCAAGCCCTGGAAGTAGTTAGTTAAGGAAGAAAGGGTTTCCTTGTTTGAGTGGCTCCATTTGGACATAGTGGTGAAGTCTTGGTTTTGAAATCAGACCTTGTTTTGTAATTTACAAATATCTCCCACCTTCTTTAAAAAACAACAAACACACACCTCTACCGGTAAGTTCTTAGGCAACTAAGACACTGTTTGGATTTCATATTAAATGATTTGGCTTTTTGTCTTTGTATCTTTTTCTAGTCTTTGGACTGAGAAATGCCTTCCTTATTCAACATGAAAGCCGATATCGACAGTGCATAGCAGCATTCTTATTACAAGCCCAAACAGAAAACATCAAAGTATGTATTTTAATTTTGTAGGTTTTGATTCTTTAAACTTGATGGAAGGAAAAATCTCAACCCCAAGTCTCAGTAAAGGTGAATGGAAAGTTTTGTGTATTTCCCTCACCTGCTTTGGAAAGGACAGACACTGGGAGGTGGAGAGGAATAGTCCACATCTAGTCCACATTATGCTCAGAAATCTCAAGGTGACAATCCCCGCCCACTCGCAGAGTTGCCACGGCCCCTCATTTCTCCTGCAGCAGAAAGCTCCAGAACGACTTCTGATTTTACTTTCTGTATGAAATGGGGGGAGGGCTGCTTTGGATTGTATGCTTGGCTTTTAAGATGCTCCAATCAGTTTCTGAAGTCCTGCAAATAATATGATGTCAACTTAAGTGAGGGGCTGCTGCAGCAATGAACCATGACAAGAAGTCTACTCTTTGACCTTTGAAAATAATGCCAGTTTTCACAGCAATGGAGTTGAAGATAGGCTGCCTGACTATGGTTCCTCTATCTTAGAAGTTTCCATTTTTTATCTTTCTTTTGGTAGGCTTTCATCACAGTAAGAGGGTGGCCAGACAATGAATGCAATATTGCATTCTCCTTAAGGACTCAGTTTCCTGAGTCATCTCCCTCAATCTCTTTTTCAAATTATATTAGTTAAAGAACTTCTAATTCCAGACAAAACAAATTTAATGTTCAAACTATATTATAATTAGTCATAATTGATTATTATGGTTCTTTGATTACTCATGACTACCCCACTTGCCTAACATACTCATTTAATCCAATTGCATTTTCATACATAATTAGAGATATTGATGATATATTAGATGTAAGAAAGAAAATGGGAAACATGCAAGTGTTTCATTAGTTCTCAGTTTTAAAGAGCAAGTCAATAAATACAAAGGGAAAGATTAATCCAAGTGTGAAAAAATTGTCAGGTTAATATTCTTCTCTCTCCCCTTTTTCTCTCCCCTCACCCCCCCGTGTGTGTGTGTGTGTGTGTGTGTGTGTGTGTGTGTGTGTATTGTTTTTGTTTTACAGAAAACATGGATGGCACAAATAACAGCAGCAATCTCTTGCTTTACCAAGAGTCAGGAAACCAAGAAAATATCTTTATTCAGATCATCCACAGAATCCTCTGAAATTTAGGGACCTAAAACTAATTTTTTAGAAATGAAGGATAAAGGTATTCTTTCAAACTTTTGTAACACTTAGTGATGAGCTAGAAGAAAACGTGTCTTTTAAAGGAGTTCCAGAATTTGAGTGAAGAAAATCCTCAGTACAGAGAAATGATGACTGCAACAAATTTGAATTCTGGGGAATTTCTTGTCAAGTATATACTGATATCCAAACTACCTTAAAATGCTCCAGTCAGACTTATAAGAGGTGTGAGTGAAGTGTGATGCTGTTATAATTTGTAAAGGGTGAGTGATCAGATGTTCACTGTTTGGAGTGGCAAGAGGAAAATGTTTGTGTCCAATATGAATTCTAGCATCTTACTTTGTGTATACCTATAATGAAACCAACCTCCCTACATGGCTTATAAATCACATACTGCTTTATAGTCCTGCCTCACACATAGATCATTCTTTTGACATGAAGTTTGATTGCTCTTTTAATATATTAAGTGATAAATAAGGTCCTCATTTTAAAAGCAGTTTTTAAATTCCAATTCTCACAGTTCACTTATCTCAGGTATCTACACTAATAAAAGAGAAACATGCAAGTTGGTGTGTCATTCCACTATGCCCACCAATCAGAACGACTATGCAAATTAACCAACAAAGATGGTGGTTACTTTGCATACACAGTGTGGAGCGAAGACTGAAGGCTCCGGCCAGAGTGAAGACTGAAGATGACTGAAGACTGAAGACGACTCAAGACTGAAGAGGCTTGGCTTCTCCGCTGCACCCAGACCGAAGGCCTGGGTCCTGGGTGCCGGAGGAAAACCGGTGCCAGCAGCCAGGGGAAGGAAGGCCTATTGCACGAATCTCTTCATGCAATGGGCCTCTAGTATTTCATAATACTCTAACTTGGAAATAGAAAATCCCAGACTAAACTCCATTATTAAAAAATAAAATGTTTCAGTTTTACATGTTAACACTTTTACATGGGAAATTGTCTTAGGAATAGTAAAATATCTTTCTCTAAACCTAATTTTTTAAAGAATGGTTTGTCATAAAATTATTTTCTGGTTTTGAGGATGGGGTTGTGTGTTTTATCATAGTACAGCCACCTAATTTTACTTAGCAGAACTTGAAATTTCATTAAATTTTTATTTAAAAAGGCATCTTGAATTATTTTATCATATGGTTAGATTTTATCAAATGAAAATCCACAAATTTCAATTTCAACCATGGTGTCTTGAGCAATTTCCAAAATGGAAGTAGTAAATTTATCAACCTGGGATGCAAGACATGATACCTTAACTGACCTCTTCAAGTTGGAGAATGGGACAAAGAGGGTGATGTTTAGGGAAGTCATGTGTACAGTTAATGCTTTGAAGAAAAGGCTAATTTCACCACACAAACAGGCAGTATAGACAAGTGTAGCACAAAGGCTCTTGTGCACAGACCTAGCACTATTTCAATGGAGGGTCATCATCTTTGTATAATAATGTCAGAAATTTGGAGGAGTAAGTGAAAATAAAAGGAAAATCTGGAAAGCAGTAACTACTATTAAAGGCTAAAAATAAATGAGAGGGAGAATAGACTTCAAGTGAATTCCTAGAGATGGGACCTAGATGACATTGAAAGCAATTTACATTCAAGACAAGACAATACTGACTTATGCAAGAAAAGACTTAGGGGGGGAAATATATATATGAAAAAGAAATTAATAATCATCTTACAGAGATTTTTAGATATAAGCTGACTTCGGAGGAGGACAATGGACTAGAAATAGGCAATCTCTCAAGATTCCTTTAGTCCCATGAGTCCAGTAACCATGTATTTGTATGTATAAAGGACTAGTTTCTTCCTAAAATATCATTAAAGGAGACTGACTAAATTAACATCAAGAATGTAAAACAGCTTAAGAATATGCTATATACAATAGCCAATATGCGGAAAAAACTTTAATGTCCACTGACAGATGAATGGATAAAGAAAATGTGGTATATATGTATAGAATGGAATACTATTCAGCTTTCAAAAAGAAGGAAATTCTGCAATATGCAACAACATGGATGAATCTTGAAGACAGCATGTTAAGTGAGATAAGCCAGTAGCCAGTCACAGAAAGACAAATCCTATATGATTCTACTTGTATGAGGTATCTAATAATAGTCAACTTCCTATAATCAAAGTATGAAATAGTGGTTGCCAGTGAAATAGAGAGGGAAATGGGCAGTTACTAATCGACAGGCTTGAAGTTTCAGTTAAGCAAGATGAGTCAGTTCTAGAGATCTACTGTACACTTAAAAAGAGGTCATAAGAGTAGATCTCATGTTAAAATTAAAAAAAAAGAAAATGCTATATATGTAAAATGGATTTCTATGAAGCTCACAAAAGAACATGTCTAATATGTAATATATTAAGTGCTTGAGGATATACACAGTGTACTCTTCAGAAGGAAGCGTATTAGAATAAAATGAAAAAATATCTCTAGAACTTTGGTTCAGGTGAGGGGGGGAATGGAGGTGCAGTAAAAAACAATGCTATTTTCAGCCTTCACAAGAGTATCTTTAAAAGGTCACCTGGGTATTAAATTAGATATACAACAAAAAAAATTTAATATTCTTTAGTATTTTTTTTTTTTTTTTTAGTTTTGCTAAATTTCACAATGATGAATGGAATGAAAAGGGAATGTCTCAAGCAAAATGACATCAGTAATTTTTCTTGAAATTGTAAACTTAATTATTATTCTAAGTTGAACATTGAAGCATACTCACTGTCTATATCCAAGTGCAAAGTTCTAACATTCTGTAAATAAATTAATGCAAAACGGTTAATATCTTGTTCTCTTTTTTAAATAGACAAAATAATTTGTAGCCACAGAATACATCTACTAGAAAGAAATGTTTTTAATATCATCTTTAACATATTAAAAAAACAAAAGCAACAATAAGGATCCTTCCATTGATCTTTATACAGATTTAAATGCTGTCATGTAATTTATTAGTTACATTTATAATCAATAACCTTCAATCACTGAGTTTAGAAATTACAGTATTTTTTAGCTAAACTCTCTCACAAATAAGGCACAACAACATGATCACAGGTAGTAAACACAATACAAATAATGAATCCAAAAACTAAACAAGAAAATGCTCATGCAAAAGTATCTACAGAGGATATGAATATGTGATCCAGTTCAAAGAAATACAGAATGCCATATACATAACTGCATCATGTTATAATAAATTCATTACTACTACACTGGAAGAACTTCACTATTTCCGATTCTATTTTACACAATTTTACATAAATTTAGTAAGTTTATGCACAATATTCACATCTGCAACATTAACAAACTGATTGTTAAAATTCAGGCAAAGGGAAATTAAGACACGCTAATGTGTGGCATATTATAATTACAGAATACCATTCATCACACTCATGTCTAGGAATACTAAATTGACGGCACATTTAAATCTTATAGAACAAGTCATTCATGGTTTTATAGCCAAAGTGCATTAAAAAAATTCTATAGTCAATAGATCATGAATATCAAAATATATGATCATAATTTGCTCTCCACTTAAAAGCTAAACATTTTTATGCAAATGCAAGGTTTAAAAAGAAGTGAATTTAAAGTTCTCAAAACTATAAAATAACCATAAAGCCTTTTAAAGAGATGGGAAACAAATTTGGCAGTTACTATTTAACATTACTGTGAGGAAACTATTAAACTAGCTAATTCCACATTAAGAGGTAGTTGAACAAAATGTTATTTGTACACTGCTTTGAGGTTTTTGTGTTTGTTTCCCTTTGTTTTCTCAAAATGAACAAATCCCATACGAGCAGCTTTGTCTTCTATTAAAAAAAAATTCCATAGGTATAGTTTACTATACACTAACCCATCAAGACTTGATTTTAGCTCACTTTTCTGTGCTGCGGTTTGAAATTTACTAACACGTGATGCTAATATGCTTTGCATCAGAGCTGAGAGCTGTGCCTCCACACATACTCTAACTCACTGATGAACAGTACCAGCAGACATCAAAAATGTAGAGCCAATAAGAACTTATATGAATTTTTTAATTAAAAGAAAAAGAAAACCCTTTAATTGTTGTTTTCAAAAATCTTAAATTGGTGACAGTTAACAACAAAAATATTAAGTTTCATTTCTAGTATTATTAGTACAATAGCCAATGGTAAATTATTCAGAACCTATGAAATGAGATTAGCTAGATGAAAACTAGAAAATCATTCAAACACATACAATTTTATTTGTTGCCCCCACAACTTTTTAAATTTATTTTTGTGTAAATATGTGGGTAGGGCAATAAGGGAAAAGGCCTTCAATGCACCTAATTAGGAGATGAAGTGAACAAATATTCTAATCTAGAAGAATTCTCATGAAGTTTTATTATCTTAAAAGAATAAACGGTGCTGTGAACATCTATTTTTTCCAACACATTTATTAAGTCCCTATATGTAAAAGTATAGAATTAATACTATTTGAAAGGATTTATAAGTATGCGAAAATACATAAATAATTTTAGCTCAATTTTTATTATCCAGGTATTTTTAATAATGAGCCATCATATTTCTTCATTATATATGTTAAAGGTTATATGTATATCCAAGTTCAGAGCTTCAGTCAGGATCTTTAATAGCTACTTACAACATGGTTTACTTAAATGGGTTGTTTTAATGATTGAATATGTAGCAATCACTTTTAGTTTATATATATTGTTGGTATAGCATAAACATAAGTTCATTTCATTTCAGTATGATATTTGAAAGCAAGTATATATATAAACTACTTATTGTAAATAAAATATTAACTCCTTTCTTTCCTATTACTACCAAATAATTGCACTGAAAAAATGTATAACTTTACATTTCTTCTCTAGAAAGAGTAATAAACCATTATTAATGATTTCCCTCTTCAGATGTTTTCTAATTTTCCAAATTAATAAGACTATGATAATTTAAAGTTCAATTACATTGTTCAGCATACAAATAAGCTGATTTTTAATTATCCTTAATTAGCCATTCTGTTTTAATTCTGATGGCAACTTTGGGATTCCTAAATACATTTGTTTCTAGTGAAACTCTACTCTCCAGCTATCACTTCAGGGTAATTTCACAGCATTATTTTTGCAAAGTAAAAAGATTTACCAGTTGATGTGGAATCCAAATTCAGAACCATTTTAAATTTAAGCTCACAACTTTTAAAATTCTCCCCTATTAGGTAAAAAGAAAGTATAAAGTAAAATATTTAATGTCTCCTTACCATTTTGCATTTGGTTTTCACAGATAAGAATATAGCAACATCAGTTACTGGCTTTAAGACACAAAAATTATAAAACAATTACCATGGATCTGAGCTATACTTGGGAAGGTTAAACCAAATTAAAGAAAAAAGCAGATCCACTGAAAAAGCAAACTCATTCCTGAAGATGCTAGAGAGACAAACGAGGAAACAATATGAAGGCTAATCTCAGAAGACCTCCCATTTATAAGAAACTGAGAATTGGACCATTAGACAATTTCTATTATTCACCTTCCAACCTAGGGTGAGGGTGGGAACCTTTGTAGGATCCTTAACGGAGAATAATTTGGAGTTTAAATCTGAGAATGAAAAAGAAAAGGTAACCCTAATCTTTATAATGCAACCCTAGGATAATCAGAAAGTAAGCAAACTGATTTCACTGAGGTTTTCCTAAAATCTACCCAAAATAATCTAATCAGTATTGTTAAAGCAAAACCAATTTTGAATTCATGGTTAATATTTATTTCAACATAAAATGTGTTTTGATCTCTTGAGCATAAATTTATAATGTAACAATATAATTAAGGTTTGGACCTATATATAAAAAGAAACAGAGTCATAAAGTTTTACAATTCTGTGCCTGACTTTAGAAAGAGAATATTTAACATATTTAATGTGTTACTGTGCAACATATATAATGTGATAACATCCATGTACATTTCTGTACACTCAATTTGGGAGAAAGAAGTAAGTTATGGAAGTATATTCACGTCATTTGTGAACAATGAAATTATATTTAAAAAAATACATTGCTATTTTCTGTCCAAAGTTTATTTACATTTCATTGCCTAATTCTAAACGTGGCATGAAAGCTGTTCCAGGAGTTAAATGAAAACAGTAATGAAAGATGAACCCAAGTCTCACAAAAATAGAAGAGTTTTACTTGATATTGACAGCATTCCAAAATATACGAATTCTAATTTGGTTTAGTATTGCAACCACTGTCCAAATCAAATAGTAGTCCAGGAACTCTATTAAGGACATTTATTAAAAAGCTAATGTTAGCGTAATATTATTCTGAAGTTGCGATAACCCATTATCCTTGCAAGTCATTGAAACATGCATCACAGACACGAACAGGCTTCTTGGAAGAAGGAGTTAAGGCATTTTTGGCTGAACACTCGGCACAGAAGATATTTCCACAGTGTCTGCAGTGATGCTGTAGATGATAAAAATTAAACAATATTAAGCATACAAATGACACCAAAAGCATCGTGAGACTACAAGAACACTGCAAACTGCACTATGAAGGCATTAACTGTTGAGTAATTAGTGTATTTAAAATATAATATTTTAATATGTCAATTTAATCCCGTAGTTAAATTGAATGGCTCCTATTTAGCAGATAGTACGCTACACACTTTATATGGACTTGATCGTGGAATTCTCAAAAGCAACAGGAAGCCTTTCAAAGTGTTAATAAATCACCTCCAACAGGTGAAAAACTATTACTAATGTATTTGCCAAATGTTTCAGGTATTTCTTTAACAGGAATATAAACTTGCAACCTCCCATGATGTTATTCAGAATATTTTTTTTTATCTTTGCTTTTTCTTCCTTTAGAAGAACACAATGATGACTAAAACATATGAGATTAATATTGGTGCACTGATTCAGAAAATGATTACTCAAGAGAGTAACTCAGTAAAAAGGCAACAACTGAATTTAAAACTAAAACTGAAACACATATGCTAACCAGAAACTAAACTGCATGACATTTAATTACTCCATGTAGTTGAAAATTAAAAATGAAAATTTGTTTTTATCTGTCACAATGGAAATTGTTTTTATCTGTCAAAATTCATTTTAATGGTTAAAACATTCATTTTCAGTTAGGAATAAAATCCAGGACCGTAGCAATATGAACAAAATCATTTACCCGTCTCACTGTTACTGAAAAGCTTTTCCCACAGGCCATACAGTTTTGTACTTCATTATCTTCAGCCCACTTCCTATTCAATGCTTGCGTATGCTTGATCTATTAAAAACAAAGTTTCAATACATTATAATATTCAACTTCTTGAAGAATGATGAATACTTTCTAATTTGGTGCGTGAGTTTTATAAAATTTTGACTATATGCAACCATGGGATAAAATTATAAAAACCAGAAATACGTTGGTCAACTTCCATTGTCAATAGTTGCCACATTCTTAAGTCTGAAGATAGATGATTGATAGGTAGGTAGGTAGGTAGACAGACAGACAGAGTAAATAACATTTTATTCTCTATCCTTTGCTGATTTCCCATCCATTCTAACCCTAACGATCAATCCTTCCTTGGGATTTTGAGTACACATTCAGGTCACTTCTTTAACACACAGCAACTCATCTATTACTTGGTGCTCTTGAATTTTCCCACTAGTGACAATTAATGAATGACATGGCCCTTTATCCCGGGGGTCTCTCAGACAAGTTCTTTCTCTCATATTTAATTACCCATAACACATTCTATAACACTGCTACATAGACAGTAGCTACTCAAAAGTATTTATTAAGTATATGAGATTGTTTTTAAAAGGTTGAAAATATGCTTTGCACTAAGAGGTAAAAGCTAGACTAAAAACTGCCTCCCACTGCCATGTGACTTACTTGAAGGGACTGATTCTCTCTGCCCAGCTCCTGCACGGCTGCAGTTGTATTATCCAGCTTTCTTTGCACTTCTAGTACTTTGTTTTGAAGCTTTTCTATTTCACCCTCTCCTTTAAGACATCTAGAATAGATTGCAAAGAGGTAATTAATTTTTTAAAATTCATTAAAGTCCCTTTTAGAACACAGATAATGAATTACTTTAGTAGTTTTCAATAGAATACATTAATTTCAACAATCTGATTCTTTTAAGAATTAGTTTTAAATGACTACTTAAATTCCTGTACAAGCTATGCACTTTTCTCAAGACTCTTCTTCTATTTTGAAAAATGTGGACTGTAGTCTGGCCGGTGTGGTTCAGTTGGTTGGAGCATCATACCATACACTGAAAAGTTTCAGGTTCAATTCCCTGTCAGGGCATATATGGGAGACAACCGATTGATGTTTCTTTCTCACATGGATGGTTCCCTCCCTCTCTCCCTCTAAAATCAATGAAAAACATAACCTCGGGTGAGGATTAAAAATAAATTTTTACTAGACATCAAGTATGTACCTTTCTAGTAGTGCTCTCCTTTCATCTTGATTATTCTGAACCGTTGCTTCTAATACTGCAATTTCACCCCGTAAGTCATCAGTCTGCTTCTCGAGCTCACTAACTCTCCGTTGGCTGGACTGCCACTCCTTCTTCACAGTGCCTAAATTTTCATTTAATGCTGTAATCTGCATGGTAAGTTTCGCTTCATTTTCTTCATGCTTCTTCATTCCTACTTCTTTTTCTTTTATTTCAGAATGCTGACAAAAGGAAAAACAATGAGGAAAAAGCCTATTATAAAAATAGTGCAAAATAAATTTAAGTTAGTTATTTGAACTTAAATTATTGGGAACATAAATAATACTACTTCTTCAGGAAAGCAGAGAGAATATATTTCAGTATACACTAATAAAATTGATTCCACAAACATCTGTTTATTTTGAATTGGCTCAAAGGCCATAATGCTGAAATGATGGTTAGCAAGCATCTTATAAGATCAAGTTAAAGTAGAACAATTTGAGTTTCCTTTTTTTCCACTACAGCAGGGGAAGAACAAATAGTTAAAAGTGCCTTGGAAACAAAGCTAGCATTTTATTATGTATCAAATTCCACATAAACTGCTTTACCTCTATCAATCTGCCAAGAACCAATACCAACCTTTTGATTCACTGTGAATTTGAAACTGCAATTCTTCAACTAAAACATTCAGTGGTCAAGTTATCTGAGGCTATTTGGACTTAATTCAAGAAAGGAAAGCCAGATGCTTCCCATTTGGCATGCACAACTTAGGGAAGGAAAAGTAGGCTTTGGTCATCATCATTTTAAAGGGAAGTTTACATTCCCCTTTATCAACATTCACTTTGACCAAATGAGTTGAACATGATTAGCATTCATGCCATTTACCTCAATTTACATAGCTTTAGGGTTTTTCTGGCACTAAAGTGTTTTGTTTGTTTTTAAATCATGTTTTATTGGCTTTTCACCTATATAAACCAAAATACAATTACAAAACATTTCCAATCATACTTCAGCCATTTAAACAAATCTGATCTCTTTTCCTAAACAAAAATTAAAATGTTAGGTGAACATTTCAATTATAACTTCTAGGTAGGAAACTCCTCTCTTACTGGATTGATTTATAAATGAATTATAAAACACACTTCCCACCATTAACTTACTGACCAGTTTAGCTTCCTTCTCAATAAATTCTTTCTTCAACTCATCTTCTTCCTTTTTCACCTGCTCTTTTAGCATTTGCTGATTCTTCTTCTCCTGTTCAAGGATTGCCTTCAGGGAATCTATTGTCCCTTGAAGCTCTAGTTTCTGCTGAATCAAAAGCTGTTTGGCATCCTTGAGATTTGTTAACTCCTATTTAAAAGGCCAAAAAGAAATCATTCTATATAGAAAGTATTTCAAAATATAGCTGAAATTTATGCAATGTATTATAATAATATATACAAACATGAGTTTTAGTCTTTTCTCTAATGATATTCTTAAAGTTCAATATTTCAAACAATTGTTTAAAAAGATGTAAACTTATTTACTTCCTGCTGAACAATCATTTAAATTTAAGTGATACTTTGCATACATATATTTTAATAGAATTATGTGAAAAAATTTCTACCCTCTATTTCCCTTTATTCGCTTAGCACGTGTTTATTGATCACCATTTAGGCATCACACACTGTGTTGGGATCTACACAAAGATTAACTATATACATTCACTGCTTTAAGGAAGTCACAGTCTGGAAGAACCTAATGACATAATAGATAATTATAAAGCAAAACTGTAAGTATACTGATAGACTAACAGGTATTATGAGAACATGCAAAAGAAAATCGAATGACTAACATTTTCCAGAGCAAATTACAAACAATTAGTTTCTTTAAATAGCATCCTAGCTTTGCTTATGCCAGGAAAAATATTCAAGAGATTGTTAAAGAATTTTAGGAAGAAAACGATTAAAGAAACAGAATTCCTTAAAATCTTAATTCTAAACCCTTACATATTTTTAAGTTTACGATCTACAAGTATAATTTTCTAAATCCATAGCTCTCTTGATTATCATCTCAACAAAATTCAAACTTTTAGGGTTGCTTTGCTTTATTCAGTAATCCAAAACAAAAGTAACATGGTTTCAATATGTATACAGATATTATGCAACACAAGAGTACCCTTGAGAGCAGGAGAATTTGTCAAAAACAACAAAACACTGTGCCTGGTACATAGTAGGTTCTCTCTCTCTCTCTCTCTCTCTCTCTCTCTCTCTCTCTCTCTATATATATATATATATATATATATATATATATATATATACACACACACACACTAATAAAAGGGTAATATGCTAATTAGGCTGATGTCTTCCGGACGACCTTCTGGACATCCTTCCTGACAAAGCCGCACCTTCCTCACAAAGTTGGGTGAAGCTGGCTCGGGTCCCAGGTGCCTGCAGTCGACCAGAGGGAGGGAAGCCCCAGTCCTGGGTGCAGAGGCTGAGGCAGAGGGGTTAGGGGCAATCAGGCAGGCAGGCAGGTGAGCAGTTAGGAGCCAGTGGTCCTGGATTGCAAGAGGGACATCCCCCAAGGGGTCCCAGATTAGAGAGGATGCAGGCTGCGCTGAGGGACCCCTCTCCCCTGTGCATGAATTTCATGCACCAGGTCTCTAGTATATGTGTATGTGTATATATGTGTATGTGTGTGTGTGTGTGTGTATTATATATATATATATATATATATATATATATATATATATATATATATATATATATATTATATATATATATATATATATATATATATATATATATATATATATATATATATATATATATATATATATATATATATATAAAATAAAAACTTAATATGCTAAGTGTCCGGTCATCTGGTCAACCAATCAAAGCATAATATGCTAACAATATGCTAAGGCCGCTCAACCACTCACTATGACATGCACTGACCACCGGGGGCAGATGCTCCGACTGCTAGGTTAGCTTGCTGCTGGGGTCTGGCCCATCGGGACTGAGCAAGATGGGCTGGACATGCCCTGGAGCCCTCCCACAGACCCTTCCCAGATGGCCAACCTTCTGCATCCCTCCCCAGCACCGATCATGCACTGGTGGAGTCCCTTGGCCTGGCCTGCACCCTCTCAAATCCGGGACCCCTCAGGGGATGGCAGAGAGCCATTTTTGGCCTGATCCCACAGGCCAGGCCAAGGGACCCCACTGGTGCATGAATTCATGCACCAGGCCTCTAGTAGGTGTGTGTGTGTGTGTGTGTGTGTGTGTGTCTGTGTGTTTAAATTTAAATGCCAATAATACAGTGTTAAAGAAAGAACAATGATTATCTTAACATACCTTTATGCTTTCTTGCTTGTGGGATTTGAGTTCTTCACTCAGTTTAGCAATTTCTTTTTCTTGTCTACACTTAATTTCTTCTATCTCTGCCGATTTAGATTTTTCACTTGCTAGTTCTTTTTCTTTCAGTGACTGTAGAAAAAGGATTTAAAAACAATTTTAAAGTAAATATTTAACTGATAAGTAATATAATCAAAATGACTGCTACCATTTATAACAATGTCTCTGCCCCTTTCTACCTAAGTTAACATGAGTAAATTACCTTCTTTTGCCTCTGGGTCCTTATTTATACAATGTGAACAATAAGATTATTATTAAGGATTAAGTACTTAGAGTTAATACTATAAAGTGAATAGTGACTGGTCAACTAAGTATAAAATGTAGCCAAAACTACCATTATTATTCTTTTTAATAATCTTCTTCTTATTATTATTACTATTACTATCTTTATATAAGGCACACCTAGGAGTATTATATATTACCTAATTTAATCTCTATATGAGGTAGCTCTTTTTAATTATCATTTTATAGGTAAATAAACAAAGGTTTAGAGAAGTTAAATCATCTATTAGAGTTAAAGGTAAACTAAAACAAGGTCTGGCTAATGTACAGCCCTTGCAATTAAAGGCCTATACACTATAGTTCTGTCAGCATTTTCTAAACTTGAAGCACAAATCATGAATTCATTCCAGCTTTACCAGCCTCACCCCACAAAAAAAACTACCTTAATTTTTTAAATTATAGAGAATTTCAAGAATTGTACAATTTACACACAACAAGCACTTCAGGAATTGAACACTTCAGAATATCCTATCAGCTGATGGAAATATGATTTCAATTATGAAACAACATAAAAAATGTTCCCTAGAATCTGAATTTCTCTTTCATAAAGGATTTTAACTGATTTTTAAACACACTGTTCATTTAATACAATATTTTAAACTTTATAATATAGCATCATTTATATAAAATATACTCATACTTCCCCTTACAAAAATCTAATTCTTAATTTTAGGAATTCTTAAGCTTGAGAATTATTTTTAGACCTTTTATTATCTCACTCCTACATCCAGAAGACAGAAATCATTGAGGGGCTGTAATACATGTTTTTGAATAACGAAGGGTCTATGGTCAGAAAAATAGGTTAGTTTGTAAAACTAAAAACAGCAGTAATAAAAATGGATAAAAATGAAAGAAGTACATCCTAGAATTAAAATTCCAATGACAAAAACTGTTTTATCAGAAGCTGTAAGTCCATCTGAGAGAGCTGTTGAAAATAGAGATGATGCCTTATTGAGAGTAAGAGGTTTGACTGAAGGGTCTCAATGGCCTGAAAATGCTAAGATTCTGGATTTAGTCAGAAAATGAAATACCTTTTCTTTCTGAATATTTTGTAGTGCTGCACTCTGCTCCTTTAACTGCTGTTCTTTCTTTGTTGCATCCTGCTCCAAAGTAGCCTTGGCAGTCTTTAGTTCTTGAATCAATTTATTTTGGTTTCCAATTTGATTTCTGTTTGAAATTAAGTCCTCCTGTGCTAAAGAAAGCTTCTCTTCTACAGACTTATATAAAAAAAAAATTTCCCCAAATTATTATATGACTATTTTTTCAAATTTCAACAGAAACATAATAATTAACATAAGCAATAAACTATAAAAAGATAATATGTTATACCATTCAGTAAGATCACATAAAAGAAAAAAAAATGTCATTTAATTAATTATCTTGCCAATGGGAAACATTTACAGCATAAAATACTGAAGAATTCCAAAATCTCTAGAAACCCTATATAATAAAGAGATAATATGCAAATTAACCCTCACGCCCTCACAAGATGGCTGCCTACGACCAGGCCAGCAGGGGGGTTAGTGAGGAACGACCAAACGACTGAACAAGCAGGCTGTGTGGGCGACCAGGCTGGCGAGGGAGGGGAGCAGTTGGGAGCGACCAGGCCAGCGGGGGTGGGGGGGGGACAGTTAGGGGCGATCAGCAGGCAGGCAGGTGAGCGATTAGGAGCCAGTGATCCAGGATTGTGAGAGTGATATCCGACTGCCGGTTTAGACCCAATCCCGGGATCGAACCTAAACCGGCAGTCGGACATCCCCCAAGGGGTCCTGGATTGGAGAGGGTGCATGCTGGGCCTCTAGTAATCTATAAATTGTTATTGGCTAAGTGTATGAAGGAATATCAAGTAAGTAGGGACAATATCAAACATAGTCAGAGAATACATATGTGGTTAGAAAGAAGACATGGAGGACATGAAAAAAAAGAAAAAAGAGATTGTATAGTTAAATGATAAGTTATATATACATACAAGGTGGGGCAAAAGTAGGTGTACAGTTGTGAGTAGGCAAAACAGTTTATTCTTGTATTATTAACTAGAGGCCCGGTGCACACAATTTGTACATGGGGAGGGTGGGGAGGGTATGTCCCTCAGCCCAGCCTGCACTCTCTCCAATCTGGGACTGCACGAGAGATGTCCGACTGCCCATTAAGGCCAGATCCCACATCAGGATCGGGCCTAAATGGGCAGTCGGACATCCCTCTCACAATCCGGGACTGCTGGCTCCCAACTGCTTGCCTGCCTGCCTGATTACCTCTAACTGCTTCTGCCTGTCAGCCTGATCACCCCCTAACCTCTCCCCTGCCAGCCTGATCGATGCCTAATTACTCCCCTGCCGGCCCAATTGCCCCCAACTATCCTCCCCTGCCAGCCTGGTCACCCCTAACTGCTCTCCCCTGCTGGCCTGGTCCCTCCAACTGCCCTCCCCTGAAGGCCTGGTCCCTCCCAACTGCCTTGCCCCTGCAGGCCTGGTCCCCCCCAACTGCCCTCCCATGCTGGCCTGGTCCCCCCACAACTACCCTCCCCTGCAGGCCTGGTTGCCTGCCCCCAACTGCCCTCCCTTGCTGGCCATCTTTGACCACAGAGGGGCGACCAACTTTGTGTGTTGGAGTGACAGTCAATTTGCATATTACTCTTATATTAGATAGGATTATTAATTATTAAATATTTTCCATACAAACAACTGCAAAACTACTTTTGCCCCACCCTGTATATGTTTTGTAGGATCTGCGATGTCTGACATACTAAAACCTTTTGTAAGTAAAAACAAAACTGTTATTTCACATCTGCCAACCTGATCAAGTGAACTAAGAGGAAAGTCAACCAGACACCTGAGGCTTCATTTCTGAGAAGGCCATCACCCCTCCTTTTAACTTTACACTTGTGTAGCAGCAATAGTGTTGTCAGCTTACACATCCCATAGCTACTGACTGTTCTAAGACTCAAATATTCTGAAAAGCCGATAGGGGAAAGGGAAAGCTTTTTGACCTATTATGTTTCATTTGGTGGCAGACATGGTAATAGGTGGGTAACAGAAATGGCAGGAACCTTGTCACTCTCGTTTGCTATTGCTAAGAAAAGAATCCACAGGGAAGGGAACTAACTCGAAGATCTTTTCCACCATCTAGAAGTTTGTCTTTCTTATTCTAGAGATATAGTGCCCTTGAAAAGGAAGCAGAAGTTATAATTCGGGTAGCATCCCTGCTAATTAGACATGGCTATAGTAAGCATTCAATAAAAAAAAAAACATATGAAAATAAAGACACTACTTAAGAGACTTAAGCTTCCTGAAAGAGAAAGTTTACTCCTTAATTCAGTTCAGAAGTCTTTCTGATGTAAGTTAAATTTCCATTTTCAATGGCTTCCAGGAGAACACATAAAACTAACTCTAAGGCTTCTTTTACAGGAAACACCTAGGGTCACCTTGTCCTTTATTAATCAAGCAGCTAACCATTAATTAAGTACACTACTACAGTATACTGGAGGGCATAAGATAGTCCTTGCCTAAAGAAGATGACTATGTAGCCTGAAAAACAGAACCAGAATGTAAAACAGAAGTTGAACAAGGTTAGTAAAGCATTTGTTTATGCCAAACACACAGAAAAATGGTGCGTGTGAGAGCTTTCTGTAGGATGTGATTACAGAAAGCTCCATGGTGTATGTGGAAACTGACCTAAGTATCACAAGTGAGAGTGATTTCAGATAAAAGCAACAAAATTTGACAATGCCTAGTCCAAACCAATTGTAATTAGGTGACAGAAGCTAAAGGATACCAAGGCTTACTAGAGCCTGAAAGTATCAGTACCCCCAGTCTTTGACCACAAGAATTCCAAAATGCTCATCCTATCTAATAAAAGAGAAACATGGTAATTGGCGTATGACCGCTACCCTTCCCATTGGCTAATCAGGGCGATATGCAAATTAACTGCCAGCCAAGATGGCGGCCAGCAGCCAGGCAGCTTAAACTGAACATGAGGCTTGCTTGCTTCAGTGACGGAGGACTGCAACATTCCCTGCCTGCCTTGCCAGCCTCTGAGCTTGCAGTTTAAAAAACATTGTAACAAATATAGAAGCTAAACAAAACCCCAGAAACCAGCTTTCAGAGAGCTGGGATCTCAGAGCTGGAGTTGATACAGAGTTTCGATTATAGAACCAAAACAAACCAGATACCTGTTTTCAGCAGCTGAGGCCTCAGAGCTGGAGCCAAGCCTCAGAGCTAAAGCTGGCCCAGAATAAAAAAAAAAAAAAAGAAAAAAAGGAGCAGTTGGGAGCTTCAGTCCCAGCCTGAAAACAGCCCTCAGTCCCTCACCCAGACTGACCAGGCACCCCAGTGGGGACCCAAACCCTGAAGGTTGTGTGACCAGCTGCAAACAGCCATCATCCCCTCATCCAGGCTGGCCAGGCACCCCAGTGGGGACCCCCACCCTGATCCAGGACACCCTTCAGGGCAAAACAGCTGCCCCCCACCCATGGACCAGGCCTCTATTCTATATAGTAAAGGGGTAATATGCCTCCCAGCACCGGGATCAGCGGAGCAGAGACCTCCCGGCACCGGGATCAGCGTGACAGGGGGCAGCATCCAAACCGCCTGATCACCCTGCAGCTCTGTGTGTGACAGGGGGTGCAGCCACAACCTCCCTGTCGGCCCTGCTCTGTGCCTGATAGGGGGGAGCTCCCCAACACCCTGATCACCCTGCGGCTCTGTGTGTGACAGGGTGTGGCGCCCCAACCCCCCCACCCCACTGGCCCTGCTCTGTGTGTGATGGGATAGAGCCATAACCTCCCCATCGGCCCTGCCCTGAGTGTGACAGTGGTGGCTCCCCAACCCCCTGATCGGCCCTGCTCTGTGGGTGATAGAGGGCAGGGCCCCAACCCCCTGATCCGCCCTGCTCTGTGTGTGACGGGGGCGGTGTGCCAACTCCCCTATCGGCCCTACTCTGTGAGTGACAGGGGGGAGCTCCTCAACTCCCTGATGGGCCCTGCTCTGTGCGTGACAGGGGGGAGCTCCCCAACCCCATGTTGGGCCCTGCTCTGTGCGTGACAGGGGGGAGCTCCCCAACCCCCTGATGGGCCCTGCACTGTGCATGGCAGGGGGGAGCTCCCCAACCCCCTGATTGACCCTGCACTGTGCATGACAGGGGGGAGCTCCCCAACCCCCTGATCGGCCCTGCTCTGTGTGTGACAGGGGGCAGCGCCCCAACCCCCTGATTGGCCCTGCTCTGTGTGTGACAGGGGGTGGCGCCACAATCTCCCCATCGACCCTGCCTTGAGTGTGACAGGGGGCGGTGCCCCAATCCCCCAATCGGCCCTACCCTGAGCGTGACTGAGGGTGGCATCGCAACCTCCCAATCGGCCCTGCTCTGAGCCCGACCAGGGGCTGCACCTAGGGATTGGGCCTGCCCTCTACCACCCAGGCGCAGGCCTAAGCCAGCAGGTCGCTATCTCCTGAGGGGTCCCAGACTGCGAAAGAGCACAGGCTGGGCTGAGGTACCATCCTCGCCCCCCCCCCCCGGAGTGCACAAATTTTTGTGCACCAGGCCTCTAGTCCTATCTAATAAAAGAGAAATATGCTAATTAGCGTACGACCGCTACCCTTCCCATTGGCTAATCAGGGCGATATGCAAATTAACTGCCAGCCAAGATGGCGGCCGGCAGCCAGGCAGCTGACACGAACAGGGAGGCTTGCTTGCTTCAGTGATGGAGGAAGCCAAGCTTCCCCGTCTGCCTTGCCGGCCTCTCAGCTGCACTCTAAGCAACATTGTAACAAATGTAGAAGCTAAACAAAACCCCGGGCTTCAGCCAGCAGGACCGCAACATTGTTTCAAATACAGAAGGTAAAACAAAGGCCAGAAACCTGCTTTCAGCAGCGGAGGTCTCATAGCTGGAGCCGAGCCTCAGAGCTAAAGCTGGCCCAGATATAAAAGAAAAGAAAAAAAGGACAGGTTGGGAGGTTCAGTCACCCACCAGCCTGAAAATGGCCCTCAGCCCCTCACCCAGGCTGGCCAGGCACCCAGTGGGGACCCCCACCCTGAAGGGGGTGTGACCAGATGCAAACAGCCATCATCCCCTCACCCAGGCTGGCCAGGCACCCCAGTGGGGACCCCCACCCTGAAGGATGTATGACCAGCTGCAAACAGCCATCACCCCCTCACCCAGGCTGGCCAGACACCCCAGTGGGGACCCCCACCCTGATCCAGGACACCCTTCAGGGCAAACCAG